TCTAAGCCTTTTGAGCTGTTGGGGGGGCTCCATATTGTAGAAAAAATGCACTAGAATAGAAGATTAACAGTGAAAGTAGATGGCAAGGATGTACAGTAGTATAAAGCCATGATTATGTATCACTTAAAGCCATAACTATGGGCTTAAGTATGGCTTAATATGTGCTTGTCCGATTATCTGTATGTGGAAATGAAAAAAAAATTGAACTGCTCACTCAAAACCTTGTGTTTAAAATTTTGAACTCTACACATCTGCAGGAGTTCAAAATTGTATTGTAATAAAATTAAGTGTCAGGGCACATGCCCCCTGGGGCATAGGCCCTGCATGTCCAATTTGGATTTTGCAGGCAGGGCATTGTAAGGACTCTGTTGAGCCCTTCACTGTCCATTGGAAAAGGCACTAGAAGCGGGGCTCAATAGCTCTGGAGGGAAGGTTTCTAGTACCAAAGTATGTTTTATTTCAGTCTAGACCGGAGAGAAGAATCTCTCATTAGTATATACAATTGAAGGAAAATGAGGAATGAAATGACAAGAGAAGGAAAAGAAGATAAGGTGCTTACCTAGACCGGAGAGAAGAATCTCTGCTGTCTAGGTAAAGGAGAAGGGTAAGACTAAATACAAGGTGGAAACAGGCTTATGTAATCTTGTGACAGGTTTGTGTAAGCCTGTGAGGAGCAGGGCTTACAGGCATGGCTGGTCTATGCCGTATGCAACTGTATAATAGGGGGTTTCAAAATTGCCCCAGGACCTCGCGCAGGTCCAAAACCCAGGAAAAACTTTCCTCCTGGAAGGACTCCTGTTGGCCTGGGCTCCTGCCTAGGAAGAGCCTCCAGGAGGATTGTTCCAGGGGCAGGAATCTGCAGGAACCATGTCCAAAACCCTCCCCTAAACTTGGATTTAATGGGCTATATCATCTAACCCCTACAAGCCCCCCACCCACCCACAGGCCCGCCCAAGACTTGACTAACATTGCATCCACGGTACCTCACCAACAAACAACCTGCTAACCTATCTTTTTTGCACCCAAACTCACTGCTGCAGCTATGCCACCCAAAAAAAATAAGGCTCCAACTTTTACTCCCAAAAATAGGGCTTCAACTTCTACTCCATGTCCATCTGAAGGCACACCGTCAAGCACGCAAACCAAACAGAACAATGACGAGTACTTTTTGTTGAGTCGTAAATGAGATAGGAATACAATGGATTGTACCAAAAATCATTGGCGGAGCACGGCACAACCAAAGCCCAGTGGGCCACTAGGCAGACTTGTGGTTGGACAAATATGTTGGGGGGTCCCGTTATTATGTTTGAGGCATTTGGGACCCTGTTTGGCAAGGGATGAAACTTGCACTGAGTATCAGACATTTTCCTGGTCTTGGACTTCTGGGGAAAAGTCTAGAGTTTCCCTAAGGCGGGGCTTCAAATTAGAACCCACAGGAGTTGCTTTTTGGCAGGGGATTTTTTTTTTCCTGGGATTTGGACCTGCGCAAGGTGCTGGGGCAATTTTGAAACCCCCTAATCCAGTTAAACCAATGTTGTCAGCCCAGCTCTGTGTCATGAGTATCATAAATTGTGAAAATAACAGCTAACAATTGATTTGAAGAGCAAAAACTTTGTGAGGTTGAAAGAATGATTTAATGTCCACTACTACTAGCATCACATTTGGAAGTTGAGTACTTGCAATCTGCATCAATGGGCTCCAATTGCAAAAGCATCAACTGATACTACGAAGAGGTCTGCCTGACTTGCTTTGATGGTCCTTTGGTTTTCCTTTGAGGGTGTGCTCCATCGGTGCTCCGTTCCAGATGAAGCCCAAAAAATATCAAACAAAACTGCTCAACACTGGCTACGGTTCCCAACCAATGTTCATATAACATTTGATCACGGTCTTTCTGGCCTGGGAGGTGAATGATCAGATCCCGTCCAGCTCAAACAGCTATTGACATATGTAGGACTGGTCACTGGTCTCCTTTTTCCCTCTCACTGCGTCTCTGGAGAGGGGGAGAGCCACCCCGATTGGTTTTGGGATGAAGGATGCGCTGGGACTGGTGTGGACGGTCCATAAATCAACCAATAAATTGCGGATGAGGGTTGAATATAGCCCCGTCAGTTCATTCACCATTGAGGATCTGGTTCCACTTGGATGAGAGTTGATCGTTTCATGAAACCAAGCGGTAACACAAAGCTCGTTTAGCCCCTCTCCCAGGCTTCCCTCTCTGCTTCTCCCCTCGGAGGGCCAAAACGAGTGTAATGTAAATATGGTTTGAGTTTTGGGTTGTTTCATTTCATTTTGGCTCATTAATCGATGAGATCTCGCCATGATCAGCTTTTCCTTCAGCTCCTTCTCCTTCCGTGCCGAGAGCCTTTTTCTCAGTTCTGTTTCAAAAACCACATTGCAAATTTGCATCTACTATCCTCAAGCTTTTACATAAACAGTTTCTCTTGATCATCCGTGCAGATACTCCCCATAGTTGAAGATCACCCTTCGAGAAGCCTTGAGAGCTCAGCTGCTTCCTCCCCAGGCATCACTTTGGAAGTCACACCAGTTCTCGATCAAGTCCTGTGAGTCTTCAGGGAGTGCTCGCTCGCGCCTCTTTGCGTCTTTTCTGTTCGTCTGTTGTGGTTGTTTTTTTCTTCCACTTCTTCTGTTCCAGAATCCACACACCAGCTCGGTTAAGTTACATTTGCAGTATTCTGCTGTAACCTTGCCTGTAATTCTGTAAAAACACTGCAGGCTGTGGCTGCGTCCGACGCTCGCTCGACCAGTTGATCATCGCCTATAGCTTTCAAGCTTATCGTCTTCTCTCCTCTTCCCTGCTTCCTCCACCCTCCATCCACTTCATCCCTCCCTCGTTTCCCTTCCTTCTCCGACTCCTCTTTCTCCTCACCGTCACACCACCATCCTGCTTTGCCCACCACAACTTCATCTCCTCCACCCCCCTTCTTTTTCTCTTTTCTCCTTCGATTTCTTTTGAATTCCTTTGTTTTGTTTCTCTCTCCATAGTCTTACACCTGCCTGTAAGTAACTCCCTTTCTTCAACCCTCTTCTTCCGATCGATCTTTTTTCCTTCATTACCAATCTTCTTTCCTGCCTTTATCAGTGACTTCTGTCTTGTCATATGACTTGGCAGTATATCCCCTTCATGTATGCTCGCTTTGACCCCAAGTGATCGTCTTGACTGACTTCAATTCTCTTTCTTTTTTTTTCAAACCTTGGCCCCCCTCTGCCCACCCTTGACTGTTTGACCCCCCCTCTCAACGTACCTCATCACCGCCTCCCCTCCCCCCCCTTTGTTGACCTTCTCGCTTCCTCCGACCCGATCACTTCATCTTTCCACCACTCAACTCTACTCAGTTGGTTGGTCAACAACTCCTCGAGCCTCTTCCCACCTTGGTTATTTTCTTCATTATTTTATGTCTCTTTTGTTGTACTCCAACCGTCAACTCGTTCTCCTGCCCATTTCGCGAACCGTTTAATCAAAAAAAAAAAAATCCCAAACAGAGGATCTTTCCTTTCCTTCCTCCTCCCAGCCCCCCCTCCCTCTCCCCTCTTCGTACTTTCCCATCCACCCACTTCTTTTGTTTGTTTGTTTGTTTGTTTGTAATTTGAGCCTCATCCACAGCTTTCAATCATTCATTCATGATCATGACCGAAGTGTATCCAGCCCACTATCACTATCCTGGTACCGACCACTCGGCTGGCAACTTTGGCCCCGCCTCCAACACCAACAATCAGCCCATGTCAAGTGGTCAGAACGACGAGATGGACATGCTCAAATCGACCAACCCAGATAAGAAGACTCGATTCGCCACCGGTCCTGCCACTTCTCCGGGTAATCAGCAGTCCTTCAATCAATCGGCCATCTACAATGGAAATAACGGTCTTTCCGGAGGTCAACAGCAGCAACAGCAACAGAACCAGAACAATATGGTGGCGATGGCTGCCATGTTGGGCCAGATGCAACAACAACAGCAACAACAGCAGCAAGCGGGTCAATCGGCTGGATTCAACCAACTCATGAACCAAGCAGGCATCAACGGCGTTGGTATCAATACCGCTCTAGCAGCTGGCGTCAATGGTTATGGTCAACATGTTGAGTACCCCCTTTTGCCCAACCTCTTCCCGTGGTTTTCGGCCTCATAATACAACCCCTTCTGACTCATCTTTTGTTGCGATGACCGATCGATCATTCCACAGGCCGCTTTTGCTTCTCCGTTACTTGGCACTTTCCCCTCGCCTAACTCTGCTGGATATGCCAATTTTCCCTCCCCCGGACTCAGTCAAGGCAGTTACGGTGCCATGTCCTCCGCCCAGACTGGTGCATTTAGTCCAGGTAAGTATCAGTGTTGTTAGTGCGTGCGATTTCTGGCTGATCGCAGTAAATCTGAAACAACCAATCAGGTCTCGCCACGGTATGGCTCAAGTCAGTGGCGGCAGTACCGCTCAAACTGGACGAACGGTCTACGTAGGTAATCTCCCGGCCGATGCCGCTGTCGATGAGCTCCTCAGTCAAGTTCGCTTCGGTCCGATCGACACAGTCAAGGTGCTCCCCGAGAAAAACTGCGCCTTCATCTCTTTCTTAGATCCGACTACAGCTGCCGCATTCCATTCGGATGCTTTGATGCGCAAGATCCAGCTCCATGGCCAAGAACTGAAGATCGGATGGGGGAAACCTAGTGCCGTGCCCATCAACGTCGTCATGGCTGTCCAGCAAAATGGGGCCACTCGGAACGTCTACCTGGGCAACCTGGAGGAAACTGTTACTGAGCAGAGCTTGAGGGATGACCTCAGCCGATACGGGCCTATCGATCAAGTCAAAATCGTCCGAGACAAAAACATTGGTTTTGTTCATTTCTTGTCGATCGCAACTGCGATCAAGGTCGTTCAAACCCTTGCCACCGAGCCTGCTTGGGCTGGCCGAAGAGTTCATTATGGTCAGTCGCACTGTTTCCCACAGTCGTTTATCTACACATAGCTTACACCTTTCATCATCTCGGTTTTTTATTCAGGCAAAGATCGATGTGCATACGTGCCCAAGAACCAACATCAACAGCAGCAACACAACATGGCCGCAGCTGCTATGGCTGCGACTGCCGCTGGCTACGTTGGCTTTAGCAACACCCTCGCTGGGATAAGCATGGACCCCAGTCAAGTTCAACCTGGTAATCGCACCGTGTATCTCGGCAATATTCACCCGGAGACGACCTTGGAAGAGATCTGTAACACGATCCGTGGAGGTATCTTACAGCAAATTCGTTACATCCAAGATAAGCACATAGCATTTGTGACATTTGTCGACTCGAAGTACGTCTGCAATGATTGGTTAGTGTTCGCTGCCGGGAGCTGATTGTACGTTTTGATTGATCTAGTGCGGCTGTTGCCTTCTATCACACGGCCACGTTTCAAGGCATTGCTCTGCACAATCGTCGCTTGAAGGTTGGATGGGGTAAACACTCGGGACCTCCATCGCCTGGTATTGCCATGGTTGTTCAAGCCGGTGGCTCGCGTAACGTTTACATTGGTCAAATCGATGACATGGAGACTTTTGATGAGGTAAGCCTGCCGTTCGTCTCGGCTTATGCCACATAAATTGATCTCATTGAGCTCTTTGTTGCAGGCGCGAATCCGACAAGATTTCTCTCAGTATGGTGAGATCGAGCTGGTCAATCTGCTCAAAGAAAAGAACTGTGCTTTTGTCAAGTGAGTTATTTCACAATCGGCACAGCCTCGAGGCTCTCGGTCTGAATGTTTCTACCTGTTGCTACAGCTTCACCAACATCGCGAACTCGATCAAGGCCATCGAAGGCATTAAACAGAACGAAGAATACTCCAAATTCAAGTAGGTCCTTAACAACTGTGTTTGATGATCGCACTTCGAATACTCATCCAACTAATCTTCGATTGCAGAATCGCTTACGGCAAGGACCGCTGCGCCAACGCCCCTCGCAACGCCCCATGGGCCCAGCTCTTTTCGCCAACTATTTCGACAGGCGCCAACGCCGGGCCTCGAAGTGCCCCTGCACAAATGACTGGCTTCAGCCAATCGATGATGGGTAATCCCTCCTCCGGATTTCACAGCGCCGGCTTCAACCCCAACCCAGGACCAGAGGATTTCTCGAACATTGTGGTCACTGCTGAGGGTGGAAGCACCCACGCTAGTCCCGAAATGCCACCACCCGAAGCCTGATCCCATTGGCCTTTCCCAACTCACCCTTTTAAGCATGTAAACATGCAACTCTGTCCAAAATGCACTGTACCAATCAATTTAGAATGTGATGATGGTTTTCTTCTTGACCCTCGAATCACAACAAAAAAAACAAAAAGGAATTCGATTTCGCAAGCAATATGGGGTTTGATCCGCCACTTACTTTTTATAATAAAAAAAACCAGTAACTTTCTTTTACCGAACTCGACATTCAATTTTTTTTGTTAGTTCATTCAGGTGGCGTTTGTGGTGAGAAGACATACAAGTGATGTGCATTCGGGTTTGTTTCTTCGGTGTCGTTGATGATTCGGTTTATTTTCCTTTCTTTCTCCCTCTCTAAAGTGTCTGGTTTCTATTGTGTGTTTTCCTGCTGTTTCCTTCATACATGACTGCTGTTTCCTCACTTTTTTGTTTGATTCTTTATTAACACACACATATATATAGTGAAAACATGAAGAGTGTTTTTCCCCATCGCCCTCCTCTTTCTTTTGCCTCTTTATTATCCTATCCTCGTGCCCCCTTTTTTCATGTCTGCTCTTACTTTGGGGGATGGCGAAAGTGTCGAAACAATTTGAGAAGAAAACACTATGCTTGTTCTTTTTGTCAAGCTTCGGAGATCGATCTTCTTTGTCTTTGAATTAAACTTTTCTTCTTAAATACATTCAAACACCATAACACATAAAGACAAAGAACATATCTTACCATACGTAGGTTTAGCAGTCTCTTTTTGTTCTACATGCTTATTTTGGAGGTACGAGTTATACTTTGCCTCTATATTGAAATTTCAATCTGCTTTTGAGATAGATCTGTTCCTGTCATCTATCAACCAAGTAATCAAAGCTTCCCTATATACCAAGCTACCTAGTTGTTGCTACCCTTCAGTGGCAAAGGAGACATGCTTCTCCAGAGGACAATATTGAATAGCAAACGTTTGAAAAAGGACAGAGCCTAGAGGGTATCATACCGAGCTTAATGTAAGCCTCCCAATCGGACGGGCCCGACGGGACGCTCTCCTTTGCGCCTCCTCGAGGGAAGGGGGACGTGGGAAGTTTGGTATCAGCGGGGTTCATGATTAAAATTTATCAAATTTTTAAAAGTCCACTTGATTTTAAGATGTTTATCAATGTTTTTGTTTGTTTCTTTGTTTCAATTTAAAAATCTGTGTGGATTGTTCAAAAACCCCCAGATCCATCCAACTCATAAAACTTTTAGAATGTTGTTCACAAAGGCATTATGTAGCAGGGTTCATGATTGAAACTTATTGAATTTTAATGCTCTTCTTAAGGTGTGTGTGTATCAATCCTCATTTTTAAATTTGAAAAGTTGTGTGGATTGTTCAGAAACCCCCAAATACATCCAACTCATAAATTTCTTAAAATGTGGTTGATAAAGGCCTTAAAATTGGCTTTAAAAAACTTGAAAATTTCAATCATTATGAACCCTGCTACTTATAATACATCAGCCTATGCAGTTCATGGTGGGGACTTGAAGGCAAATTCTAACACATTCAATGTTCATGGATATGCAAATTTTATGTATCAAGATTCAGTTGTTTCAAACAAATTTGAAGTGAAACAATTTGTGAATATCTTATGATGAATGTGGGGGGATTCACTGATTCAACTTCAAGTCATCAACATGATGAACCAGGCTATTTATCGAACTTATCAAACTCCCTTGCTTTGGAGGGCCTGGTGGCCTTGGCTCTCCGAAGGAGGGACTTAGAACAAAATCGAACATGCCCGCGTGTCACAGTTGGGCAGTTTTGGTGTAACACACATTGAGCTGGATGTACAGCATGCACATGACCAGATATTTAGAATTTGAGTAGATGAGGTTGTAGAGCTTGGTGATGCCTCTCACCTCATCCAATTTTCAGAGCTTTATCTTGGAAATTGGATGAGGTGGATGTTTTAAATTTTTCAAGTTGGTCAAATTGAGGAAATGTCCTCACCTGGTAGGCAGTGAGGTTGAAACAGGCTTACGTAAGCTCAGCCAACTTGTCATTTAGCAAATTTTCCTCAAAAATTCTTCAATTGTGTAGTTTTTCAAAAATTTCTTGATGGAAGTCAAAGCCACCATATTGGGCATCTCCACCTCAACTCAGTTTTCAAAAAATTTACAAGCTGAATTTCCTAGGATCTTTGGTGCAAAAAAACAGCCAAAAAAACTTGACCGTGACACGCAAGCGTGTTTGTTTTGAGCTCAAGCCTCTCCCGCACTTTGTGCGTTTGACAGAGAGGCTGTACAAGCTTGGCTATTTATTGCTGTTGGAATTCCATCTCGCTCTCTCCGCTCCCGCTCTTCTTTCTCTTTCACTCCGCTCTCTTCGCTCCTGCTCTTCTCTCTCGCTCCCGCTCTTCTTTCCTGCTCCTGCTCCTCTTTCTCCTTTGCTCCGCTCTCTCCCAAAAACCTAACCTCAACCATAACTCAAACAACATCATCAAACACATAAAAAGCTCAACTCACTCTCCCACAACACACTCCCACTCTCTTCTCTTCAGTAGCACACTTTCCCTTGCTCACTTCCAACCAATCGCTTCCACTCCCTACCTACAATCATTATCTGCATGCTGCACCACTCTCAAAACTCTCCGTCAACATCCTCCAACTAAACCAACTCACATATCCTTGACTATCCCTTCCTATCTGACTCCGCATCACCCCTTCCTCTCTCTTGTTTCTCTTATCTCTCTTCTCTTTGATTCTACACTCTCACCAATCTCAACATTATCTTGACTATCATCTCAAGGCCTCCAAGTACCTTCTGATAGCTCCCTCTTCAACTCTAGACCTTCTCAATTGGTTATTACCAATTTGGTGAGAAAAAAAATTGATTTGACTATCTCTATCTCATCTCTTAGACACACCATGCTCACCTTCTCTTATCCTTTTATATGATTTCTAGTGTCTACTATATTTCTCTATTTGATTTTCTCTACTTCAGCTTCTCTTCTCTTCATCAGAATAAAAATCCTTGTGGTATGCTTTTTCTCTTTGAATTCTTTTTCATATTTATGACTGTTTCATCTAATTTCTCATTGTTTTATGTTTGAAGTTCTGGTTCTGTTTTCAGTAATCTATCCTGTTTTTCTACAATTGCCTGGTTTGTGTTGGACTTGGATCAGCAAGCTTGCATGAATTGGCAATCAGAAATAATCCAATACCTTGATTGCTTAAAACAAGCCTTGGATCACCCTTCATCATAACACAGCTTAGTGGATTGAATTAGGACGGTTCACAGTTGAACGATTTCAGCAATTTTTTTACATCAAACCAGCAGAGCAAGTTGAGCTTGCAGGCTCAAAATTGGCTTGCATGTCTGCCAACTTTTCAAGTTTTTTGAAACCAGCAAGCAGAAATTTTATCTGAGCCAACAAGATTCTATTCAAATTTGAACTGCCCTATTGTATTGGACAGCATGTTTGATTTTAGACCCTATGCATACAGTGGGTTGACATCAGGATGCATCTATGCACACAGTGGGTTGACATAAACTTGTGTACCACTACTTATCTATTTTTGGGGGTTGGAATTATTCTTTTTGGGAGGTTTTTTAGGGGATTTGGGGGAAATGGGGTTGGGTAAAATGATGACAGGGTTGAAAAAAAAATTAATTGCAGCAGATTTTTTTTTTTAGAAAAGAGACAAAATCATCCATTTTTTCAGTTTTTTTCAATATTGTGATGAGACAAACTGGGACAGCAGATGAGTGAAGTGGAAGGATGATGTTAACAAGGTTGTGCCTTGTTGGCCTCAAGAATCTACTCAAGGCCGAGAGGGATTACTCTTGGCCTTGAGACTGTACAAGGTCTCTTGGCCAGGATTTTGAGGAAAAGCAGACATCCACACACCCAAATCCGCATCCTCTGGCGGGTATCCGTTGGCACTGGCAGGTATCCACCAGCAGATAGCTGGTATCTGCAAAGGATAACCCAAGGCCATCTCTAGACATAGCACCAGGAAATATCTGAGGGCAGTAGGTGTCAGGTGACATGAAGTGAAATATGTTACAACTCCACTGTTACTCTGGTGCTTGTCTGCTCAAATAACAATGCCCCCTTTGTGGTCATCAGGGAGTTCCAACCCTTTGATTTTGAAGTAACACTGGAATAAAGGCAGGAGTTAGCTTCATGTCACCTGACATGTACTGCCCTCAAATTTTTCATGGTGTAGGCATACAAAAAAAGACAACATAATAGGGGGTTTCACAGTTGAGTTCAAGTGACTTGCAAAACATTTTTCAAGTCACTCTCATGCATGGAGATTTTCAAAAATGTCTTTCTACTAGCCACATCTAACCTTCTAATGAGTAATGGGAGCTGAACATGCATGCTTTGTTGTGCAGATTGACTTGCAAACCCTTTTGCAAGGCATTTGCACTCAACTCTGAATCCCACTAATACAGAAACAAAAAAAAGGCATTGAGAGAGCGGAGTAGGCAGGAAAAGTAAAGAACAGCAGCTGTTTATCATTGGTGGTCAGGTCCATTCACCCTTTTCAAGCCCATAGATTAGCAACGGGATCATATTGAAGAACAAAATGCTGAGTTGAATTAAGCATTGCACAATAATTTTGAATAAAAACCAACAGATCAGCCGATTGTGTACCAACAGGATGAGTCAATTCAGATTGTGATGGTTAATTGTAAATATGATTATAAGTAACTGCATGTTCATCCTCCAAAATCATGTTGTGGAGGATAACACAAGTCTTCATGATTAGTTGCATCTTTTCTTGACACCAATATAGTGCCATTCGTGCAACAATAGCAAACCTAGCTTGCAGGACTCCAAAGCTTGTTTGAAATCCTTTTGAGAAACCTCCTGCAACTTTGTGAAGTAATTTATATCATTTCAATGATCAAATAGTTCCAAGCAACAGGAGGAGTACAACAAACATTACCTTTTGCTGATGACCTCAAGGATGTGAGATTGTTTTCACTAATGTTGCCCAGTCAGGGTAAATTGAGTTGGCCAGATAGTAACCCTGGTGATAATGATGGCCATTGATAGTGAATTTGCAAGGAGGTGTTTCTCCATTCAATAGACTTTGGAACAAGGCGGATGCATCCAAGACATTTATATCATTGTGGCTCCCTGTCATACCAAAAAAGGTATGCCAAACCCAAAGATCTTTTGACACAAACTCCTCTAGAACAGTTGTAGGCACCTAGAATACAGTCAGCACAACTCAGAATTTATAAGCAAAGAAAACAAGTTTAATATATCTACCTTTTCCTTTCCTTGAAACTGTCCAGCCCAAGCTGTTGGGCAGTTTTTCCACTCCCAATACATACAATCCCAGGAAACCCCCTTTTCTTCCCAATCACTAACAACCTTTTCACATTGGATTTGTTGGGCAATTGATGATATTTGGTTGCATACAAATCTATTATTCCTTGGCAGAATCTCTCAAGACTTTTTTGAGATTTCAATTTGCCAATCCTTAAATATTTTTCATTCACATCACTTGTACCACCATATCAGCGGTGGGCCAGCTAAGCTAACCGTAGCGGTTAGCGCAGTGTAACATAGCGGAATTCCGCTAAACTTTAGTATAGCGTAGCAGAATTCTGCCATGTCCACGCTAACACTACGTGTGCAGGCCCTTAAAAAGTGCCCGCTATGTTTGCTAACACGCTGGTAAGAGGCATTTTGGACCTGTAGTGGTTATTAGAGGCCCCATAGTGCAGAATAGTGTAGTGAAAAATTGCTAACTTTTCACCAACACTACACAATTTTGGCATGCAAAGAAAACTGCTACACTAATGCTTTTTGCGAAAAAAGTGTAGCAACCCAGAATTGTTGGTATGTTTGTAAACTAGGGATTCTTTTCTTTAAAAACTCTAAAACTTGAACTCCTCTCTTTTCTAACAAAATTCAGGCTAATAACACTATTACTCCTATTCTCTAATGTTTTTCTGATATGTTCTGAGTCATAAGTTTTTTTTTAAAATTTCCATCTATCCTCCTCCAAAATCTTCCTCCTCTCACTATCTCACGCTCTCTATCCTTCACTTCCTATGCTGTCCTCCGCCCTCACTCCCTTGTACTTGCTTGTCACCTCTACAACACCAGCCAGCTAGTGTCTTGCTCCGGCCACCAGTAAAACAGGTTTCCCACTGCCGCTTCCGCCTCTGATCCAGCCACACAAAACCCCACCTCCACCTGTTGGTGCCCCCATTCTTCATTAGCCCCTCTGCAGCGCACCCTAACCCCAGTCCTCAGTTGGCCGTGAACCCCAAAGCACAAGGGTGCCCGGATGTCCAGCAGTTTGTTTTTCCAGAACTTTGTACATTTGACCCCTGCTCTCCCCGCACTTTTCCACACTTAAGAAAGCTTGAATTTCTACACGCTTGACGCCTGCTTTCCTCAGCCTGTGTGTGTAGCATCAGCTCCATATGCTTTCCTCATCCTCCGCATACATTCCGCACCTGCCAAACAATCTGGCCAAAGCTTTGACCCAACACGCTCTCTCCACCAAAACACCCACGGAGATGCTCTAAGCATCCAATTTCCACTGTCTATCCATTGTACACTCTTGAATACATAGGAAGAGGTATGGCAGACTTTGTAGAAAAGTGCAATGTTTTATCCAATAATTATTGGTTGGATTGACAAGGGCTCAAGCCTTTGACACAATTGGCCATATTATCAGGGCCATAAATTAGAATGTTTCAACAGTTTAAGACGCCAAATTGTTAAAAAATTCTGTGAAAATGGCATGTTGGAATAGTTGGCCTTGCCTTTGAAATGGAAAAGTCCAAAAAACAAGGTTCTTACCAATTAATGAATTCCTGTTGCTAGATGTATGCAGTAAGCTGTTCAAGGAAAGAAGAAAATGGTTGTGACAAATGTATGACTGATGAAAAATGTAAATATATAATAACTGATTGATAAAAACTTATTGCCAAATTCACATGTAGCAGCAATATCAAATTCAATTCAACTTTTGATATCTTAAAGGCTTGTTGTTTTTTGTTGGAATTTCATTGCTCTGACACATACTCCGCCCGCACTCCGCTCTCCTCCGCTCTTCTTTTCCTCATCTGTCTCTATCTCAAACGTTTCTCTCTCTCCTATCCATAAAACACTCTCTCCAAATACAATCAAATCACACCTCACATTCATACTCGTCTCATGTCCTCGATACATCATCAAGCCTTGCAAGCCTCTTCCTGAAACGAGTATTCCAATCAAAACCTATCCAGTCATCAACCACAAGTCGGACAATGACCGATCAAAGACTCGCAACCACAAGCCGAACCTCAACCGATCATCTATAAATAAAGCAGGCAACTCCTCACATTTCTTTTTCCCCCAGCAGTCTTCAAAACATATTCTCAAGACATTGATCTACTTCCTCCATCCTATACCCCTGCCAACACTGCTCGGCCTAACAATCTCAACATCTCATCCAAGTCAAAACTCCTCAATGATTCCGCTATTTGCCTCACTCCGACTTTGCTTCTTCTCCTCACTATTTCTCTATCTTCTCTCTCTCATAAATCTACTCGCGCAATCTCATCAACAACGAATTCACATCATCTCAACGTCGACTCATCCTCCTCTTATTCTCATTCCCCCAACTCTCTCGCTCGAAATTCTCATCTGGCTTTTGCCAATTTGGTGAGAAAAAACTATAGTATACTTTCTTCTCAAAATTGACTCCATGTTGACTTTTTTTTTTCTCTCATTAAATTCTCATCTCAAAAATAGTGTTTATTATATATCATTGTTTGATATCATCTACTTCAGTCTTTCAGTTCTGTCTAACTCAAAAAACAAATCTTCTTGTGGTAAATTTCCTCCTGTTTCTCAAAAATCATTGATTGTTTTTATTGCTTTTTCTTTTCTTTTGAAATTCTTCTAACAAATTGTTTTCTTTAATTACAGCTATTTCGGAAAGGGTTGTCCACTTGGACTCGCGAAATCTTTTTTATTTTTTTTATTTTTTATTTTTTTACTGAACTGGACCTGTCAGAACTGAACTAGTGATGACAGCTGTACCTCCTCGGCTGTAGTTCAGTACAAAGAAAAATTTAAAAATTTTCAAAAAAAAAAAAATTGCGAGAGACAACTGGACAACCCTTTCCGAAATAGCTGTAATAGTCCTGGTTCTAGTTTCAATAATAAATCCTGTTTTTCTTCATTTTTGGATATGAAATGGTTTTGAGTCCTTTTTCTCATAGAAACAAAATACAAATATTTGTAAACATAAAAATCTGACCCACAAATTGACCGTGATTCTTGAGTATTATCAGCTATCATGATATAAGAAGAAGAAATTGAAAATATGCTGAAATACAAGATAATAGAATCAAAAAGAAATTACATTTGGTGTCCATTTCAGCAAGAACATGAGCTCTACTAAACCACTGGTGGAGTTTTCAGATGTAATTTCATCACAAGAGCAGGCAAGATTCCCTCTGAATTGCGAAAATACTCAAGTAAGTGGGTAAGCAATTTCTTCCACATGCTGAGCTTTTGAGCAGCCGGTAGTGAATGGGCTGTCTCTGAGATTTCTTCAAGTAATTTTTGGGAATGGATTGTTTGCAAACCTGGTTTCCATGCCGGCGTGGCTTTGATGGCTTTGATTGGTTCTCCGTTCTTCAGTCCCTCTAATTGCTTCACCAGTTCCGGAGGTGCAGAAGTACCCATGTGTTCAGCATACCATTTGATTTTCTTTTCAATTTGCTCTATCTTTCCTTGCCTCCCCAAAATCCTTGGCTCATCTAGATCTTCCACCTCATCGGCTTTGGCTTGGTCAAGTTTTGAGGAATCCTCAGCTTTTGTTAGTGTTTTATCAAGGTTGGAGGCGTCCTCAGTTTTCGGTAGTGATTTAGCTTCGTTTCCACCCCTCATGGTCATGAGATCCTGAGGCTTCAAAGTTTCCGTTCCGGTGCGCCTTAGCGCATTGGTTGAATCCACAACATTGCTGAGTCCTTTTCCTGCGCCAACCCCCGAATCCAGAGTTTCCCCCGCTCGTAGTCCTTGAACTCCCCCAGTCAGAGCGTCTGCAGCCCCCGCGGTTTTTGGAAGGAACATGCCGCTGACTGCACTGAGTAAAATATAAGTCAACAGTAGGAGGTGTAATACCCATATCTTGAAAGTCTTCTCCTCTTTTGAGGCTTTCAATATCCAGAACGGATTTGAAAATCTTTTGGTGAGAGAGATGTAAACCATGAATAATAAGACCGTCCTTTTCGTGAAGAAGATCTACTTGATATTGGGTGGCTGTTTGTTCATGAAAGTAGGCAAGTTTATTTATGAGAAATGTGTTGAAGGATTGTATGAATTTGAATCAAGGAAGCGAATGTATGTTCTTGTTATCCGGAGAAGTCGTTCAGTGTGAATGGTTACTTGATAAGCTGTAAACCAAGTTTGAGTCAATGAATGGAAAGTCTAGTACTATGTAAAGCGTGAACCAAAAAATCACATAGAAAGAATCTAACAGGGGAATGACAAGTAAAAAGTAGAAGGTGGCGTAATCATGACCCTCCTTGGACTGTCTGGAGGAAGCATGTTGACGACCAACCAGGGAGGCCGACCGAAAGATTCTGCGAGCACTTGTGAGCCCGAGACACTTCAATCCTGGACTTGCGGCCCCCACGAAAGTCGGTTGCACGAAAGTCGGTTGACAGCCGGCTCGCTCTTACTTGGTTTTAAATTTGCAGCTATTAATTCCTTCGTGGCAATGAGAGCAGAAGGAGGAAGCAACCCGACCAATCGATCACTGGAAACTGCGCCGTCCATGACGCTGGCCATCACGTCAAGCATTCAAGCATCTTTGTAAGACCGGCACTGCCATTCAAGCCAATGCTCGGCCTAGTAAATGTCTAATTAACCTGGCCGAGCCGTTGACCTTGGAGAGGGGGGAGGGGGACCCCTTGAAACATTTGGTCTGGTCTTGTCTGGTCCTGCTTGCAAGCTGCATTTTCATGCCATCACTTGTGTGATGGCGACCCGACGCGACCTGCGGGGCTGAGAATCGCAAGCTTGATCTATTAACACTTCAAATTATGTAGGCGCTTGGAAAATCCGCACACGGATGGCCTCGACTCTCCAAAGCCCGGATGAATAACTACCCGATAGCAAAACACACTCCATAAGTAACATCCGCCCCCCCCCCCCTTTAATTTAAATCGATCTGATGAGATTGAGGCTTTGATCTCCGAATCTTCAACGATCCCCCAGTATGTACATACTCCCCTCTTGAATCTTTTTTGCATTTCACTTTTGATCAACAGATCTGGTTCCTCATTATATGTACATAAAGACATTGTTTATTCACGACCATTCTCCTCTATCTTATAAACAGTCGAATGAGAGAAAAAAAAAAAAAAAAAAAAAAAAAAACTTGTCTCTATGGAAAATACAATAAGATACTGCAATCTTATGGGGTTATTACAGGAGTGATCCTGCATGGGGATTGTTGACTATCCGTTCATCCATTCGCACTCCTCTCCTCCGTACGTGTTTCTTCTTCGAAAGCTCACTGCAATTATGCCTTCTCCCAGTGCTGGATTGATGGGTGTATGAAGAAAACAAGGCATTTGCGGTGCGGTGTTTCCACATGATCTCCAAATTCCTGACCGAAAAAATGAAAAAAAGAAGTTGGGGAAAAACATGGTGTAGAAAATGTACAATTTATGTGTTTGAATTGATGTGAGAGAAATCCAACAACAACAACAAAAATTGGAGAGAATGAACAATAATGATCAGTAAAAAAAAAAAAAAAAAAAAAAAAAAGATGATAATCAAGGATTTTTTTTGCAAGGAGTTGGTTTTGAATTTGTTGGACAGCCAAAACAAACAATGGAAATGGAAGAGGGTCTACATGAAAGAAGAAAGAAAAGAAAAGTGAGAAGAACGAGGAATATACAAATATATATATATAAATTTAGTAGATACAAAATCTCTATAATTTCATTTATCTGAATCACAAGGAAGTTTTTTCTTTTTTGGGACGATAGAGAGGGAGAAAAGAAGGGAAAGCTAGACAAGAATAAAATGCAGATGAAGAGCAAAAGAAAATGAAACAAAAAGATGGAAGAGAGGAAGGGGTATGTAAGAGAGCCATGGCAAGTCACAAGCCGACACGAGCAGCCGAATGGCTCAGAGAAAAAAAGGGAGGGAGGGGGGGGGACCGGGTCCGACGATTCAAATGTACACGATTGAGAGAAGGATGCAGCCAATGAGGTGAGGTATGAACGGGAGAAAAAAGGGAATGATAGTACTAGAGCAGGTGTACCAATATGTTAGGGGAGTTGGGAGGGAATTAATGGAGTTTGGGGTCGATCTTGATCGGGATTCGGGCGACGTAAGGACAGAGACCGAGGATCCCACCCCGCTTGATCTCGAATCCATCTGCGCCCTCCTTCAAGCTCAATGATACCAGTTGCAATCCCACAACAATCTGATTACAGTCGAAAGATCATGGTCAGACGGGTTGTCTCACTCTTGACTAAAGAGGAGAACGAGAGAGAGAGAGAGCCGGAAATCTTACTAGGTATGAGCCTGTACCAGTGGCTAGATGCCACCAGGCATGTCCTTCCAAGACGAATGACCACGGAGTACCCAAGTACTCTTTCAGATGAGAGATCCGATCACAAAATCTACACCAATCAAGAAAAATCCACACCGTAAGAAAACCCAGACAAACCTCTTTGAAGACAGAAAGAAGGAAGAGAGTGGAGACCTACAAGTTGTCGATGTTCCAGATCAAGAAGCCGGTGACAAAAGTGACAGATCCGATTAATAGATAGCGGGTCGCATCGGCCTTGTTCTTCTGTTCACGATACGTTCCTTCAGGGGCCGCTCGAACGGTATAAGCGGAGCGAAACGTAGCCAGTCTAAATCGAAAAACAGGGAGGGCAAATGGGTTAAGTTTATGTAGACCGGAGAAGGAGATGTGGATTCATCAAGGCAAGGGAGCTGACAGTTGGATGGTACCATAAGCGACTTGATGGAAGACGGGGTTAGGGTATCGTAAGTAGATCGCCGAGACGCCGATGGAGTAGAGCGAGAGCAGGTAGGGCAGGCTGCGAACGAAGCGGGTCCGGGGAAGACTGGCACTGCCGGTATCGAAGGCCACATAGGTAATGAAGGCACAACAGAAGATCATCGGCAGCTCGTCTCCTAGTTGCCATTCGTATCGTAGTGTCGCATGAAACCTGGTTTTTTTTTGTATAGAAATACGTCCATTTCTCGTATTGGTTAGTTTTTTTTTGGTTCATCTGGGGGGGGGAGGTGTTTATTGTTGATTTGAGTGAGAGAGACTTACAAGAAACTTCCGATGCCTACTAATGCTATTCCTACTTGACATAGTGCCAATGGCAAAGGCAACTTCTCATCCCTACATTTTTTCACTCCACTAAGACCAAAAAGAAAGCCCATCGTTAAGACCAGGCTCAAGATGCGATGAAAGGAGGGAGATAAACTGACTAAAGGGCCCAAGAAACTGAAGAGCAATACAGACAACGTAAGTGAGTGTGTTTGTTTTGTGGGGGATGTGAATGGATGAACTAACCAAAGACCAGGTTGGAGAGTGTGTTTGTAAATTCAGCAATGAATCTGGTGATGGCATAATTAGCTTCACTGAGGAAAGATAATAAGACAGAGGCGAGGTGAGTTTCTCCTGTCTGTTTGTCTGGATGGGAGTGAGTGAATGTGTGTACTGACCACCAATCAATTGAAGAGGTTCTGCAGGGACAGACAAAGTAACCGATTCGATTCAAGAGAAATAGAGAGAGAGAGAGGTGTCAGTTCTTGGATATCCATCAATCGATATGAGAGTGGATTATTGTTTTTTGCGGGGTTTTGAAGTTTGTGCTTACGAGGGACCCCAGTAGCCATCGACTGGAGGTTGATTGGACCACCATCGGGTGACATGGATGTCGGGAGGAGAGAGAGCCATGTCTTGAGAGTCGAGATTGTATGCTGATGGTTGTTGTTTGTCTTGTCTTGTCTTTGTGATGGTCAGAAGTGGGCTTTTGGGTGTGTTGGTTGTTGGGTGAAGTTGGAAGTGGATTACAGGGTAGCATCTCGCCACTGTGGTGGATTCGTGGAGTGGATTTAAGTAAACTAGCTAGGAAGAATACACTCGGGCCATCAACAAACTTGGAAAAGACAACCTAGCAACAGAACAACAACAACAAGCTAAACTGGCACTGGAAACAGCTGGGAAGACAGCTGGCCCAGAAACAGTTACAGTGGGCAAGGTTCAACTGTGTGTGGATTATGCACTTAAGGATGAGTATGGACTTAGCGGAGTGGGATCAGGAGCCATGACTCTCACCAGAGGAACTAGAGTCGACACTATCCCAACAGGACCACATCATCTCCAACACAAAAAAACACCCCATCAACACACTCACACTCACCACTTACGATCATATTATCATCAAACACAACGCCACCACAACAGCCAGTCCACTCGCGTAAAAACACGCCAACTCCTCTCCAAAAATGAATATGGTTAAGGCAGGAGCCTCGTCTACACAGATCCAGGAAGCGGTCCATCAACTCCTTCGATCTATTGGCTATCACAAATCCAAGATCAACTACTCACGACCATGACAGCCACTCCGGGATGATAACAATCAGCACCTCCTCCTCTATTATAATCAGTTGGGAATCAAAGATATTGTACATCCAGACACAAAACCTACTCAGCCCTTTGTAAGATTCTGATCGAGTCTTGTACAACACCCGCTTATCGGTGGGGCAGACTTATATCTGATCTAACCCATTTATAACATGTCTAGCCAGCAAATCCTTGCAGCTTGAGATCTTCCGCTCATCCAATCACTCCTCCATAAGCTTTTTGCAAGCATCTCAAGCTTATAATAAGATATAAAGCGACGGACTCATTTCGCAGTCATTTATAAGATTTCCGTGACATCTTTTTCTGCATGAACTGTTGGTTGTGAGCTTTGTTTTACCTGCTTGTGCAGACTCCAGACTATGTGGATTCGTGTAGTGTGCAATGCCAAAGGCCAAATTCTCACTCCTTGAACATAAAAAAAGGGATGGAGGAGCATCCAGAGCACTCAGAAACTCAATCTCAATCGATTTTCATTGGTAAATAACATTCAGGAATTGATCCGTCCAAGTTGCTAATTTAGATCACAGGGAATATGGTGTTCAATGAAATTTTCAAAAGTGAATCTATTGTCTTTTCAGAGTAGCTTGGAGCCTCTCAAGTTTTTTCATTAAAAAGTCTGTTTTATCTTCTTTTTTTCACGGATTCTGTCATATGTATCCCACCTTTTGCTTCTCCCTCCCCGGCCCCTATCCAGCGACCCGATGCCCGGCCATGAACTCCCCTCCCAGCCTGGTCGGATGTAGCAAGGGATGGCCGCGTAGGTGGTGGGATCAGGGTAAACTTTGCACCCTGATCCCAAATATGAGCTTCATTTTGCCAGAGCTCTTCTTAGGAAGAAACTAAGGCTGGATTGCAGTGCCAGGTCTTGGGTCGGATCACATACCTGTCCAAACCCAAACCTGTAAAATCAAAGTTTTATATCCAAGGCATGGGATCTGCCTGGATCTGCCAAAACAATTTTTTTGCAAATGGTTCCAAGCTTCTCTGAAAAGACAATATATTTGCAAACCTTAGTATGAAGATATAAAGCCATAAAAAGCAAGATTTGACAGCATACTTATGACTCAAATTGACTGGTCCCAGCAAAATTTGCAGAGTATGTTGTCAAGTATTGTTAAGTAACAATTTAGATATCCAATTTTGAACAACGTCACCAATGGAGGACTTCCCGTCGCAATTTAGAGCGCTTTTTAGACCGCTCTCAGTCTTAAATCAAGAAAGCAATCGAGATTCCAACCAGCTCATGTGAGAGCTGTTTCTGGAGGGCTTCAGAAAAAAGTTTTTTTTTGATAAAAAAGTTTAGATCTAGGGGGTGTAAAACAACTTCTGGGAGGGTTGTAGATTGCGACGGGAAGTCATCCAATGACCATATGTAAAACTCCTCCACTTGCCCATCCTCTTTATTCAGTTATCCCATTTGGTTGTCCATCTGAAGCAGTCACAAAACATGTCCACACTGCTGATTTGAAATGGATCATCTATAAGGCTCTCAAACTCAAACTCACCTCCCCTTTCTTCACTCTTCTGTAACCACTTTCATCATCCTTATAATTACAAATTAAAAAAAATGTTGGATGTAATCAGAATATGCTTGAACAGCAACCATTTCTTGTGAGATGAAACAATGTTGACTTTGTTTTTTGTCTGTGAATGAAGGGGGAGAGAAATGAAAGGAGGTTATTGAAGTTTTGGATGTCAAGCAGCTCTTGCACTTTGAGATCAACAAAAAAAAACATCTCACACACACAACTGGCATTAGTTACAGTTTTGTTTCCATATTGAATCAAGCCTTTTCACTTTGTGACAGAAGTAATTAGTTTATCAATGTGACACCAATCTAAATCTACAAACAACAGGGGAAAAAAAACTCAAATCAGAGTAGAGCCAACGGTGCCACAGATACGAGACATGTATTTGTATCGGATCGTATCGTATTTATTTTGAGCCTGATACCGGTATCAGTATTTCCTTGGTTGGTGAAAAAATACATTGTATCGGATTTGGATTTAAAAATGAAAAAAAAAATCGTCTTCGTTTTTTTCGTTTTTTCTTCAATACAGCCAAATATCTTATGTATCAAATACGGTTTTGGTGGGATCAGTCATCTGAGACGATACAGAATACATTTCTCACTTTTCAAATACGATACATGTATATGTATCAGGAAAGTGAGACAACACAAATCCGGTATTTTTGGGTATTCCAATTCTGAGACGATACAGATAAACACCTGATACCGTATTGTATCGTCTCTGTGGCACCGTTGGTAGAGCCATGGGCACTATAATTAGAATTAAAAAGCAAAGTAAAATAAACTGTAGATGTAGACATGCATGAGCTGAGGTTGAGTTATGCTCCAATAACCATATTAAAATATGTGTGCTCTCCCCTTTAATTGACAGCCAAGGATGGCCGTGCATCCAGTTCAACTCTGTTTCATGCCCCTGTAGCACACACCAACAGAATCATTGTAGTTGTACTAGAGCGGGAGATGCATTTTGAAACAGTGATCAAGGTTACTTGATGTCAACAGTCATCTGGTGAACCTTCCATCCAGTGAAAACTTGATAGATGACATGTACTGAGACCAAATTTGGATTGCTTATGAAGCTATGGTAAAATCATTGAGTACACATACACAGTCATGAGAGTAGACTGGCTTGACATGATGTCAGAAGCTACAGTTCTAAAAGCACCATTGTGTTGATGTCATTGTGACAATTTGTATTTCACTTTATTTATCAGTTTCAACCATGATGCATACAGTGACAAATATCAAGCTTTGATAATCATAGTACCTCAACCCTTGTCCCAACACAGTTGGGTCTCTGTATTGGACCATATGATTCAGGCAGACAAGTGGAAACAGAGCCCCAGAATTTTGTTCAGTCACACTGGCCAGGAAGTTGGTGAATTGAAGTCAAATCAGAGGAGTTTTGACAAGCTTTCACCAAGGGTTGGAGTGCCCTGCATGAGAAACATTCACCAGAGATAGGTCATACAGTGAATTCCTGACATGTGTGGACTGGGTCATGTTCTTTAGAGAGGATACCTACTGGGTTGAGTGAGAATGTTTGCTCACTGGGTCCATAAATTGCAGATGGGGAAACCAACTTATGGACCCGGGATAGGTTTGTCTTAGCATCAGAAGAACTAGAAATTAAGAGACATATTTTAACCAAAAATCCTCCAGTTTTGACATTTGTAAATCAGAAGCTATAAAAGAAAAAGAAAAATCAATATAATTGCCTTGATCTCAGAGGATACAATGTATAATTGTTCAATGGTCAAATTTCTTCATCAGAAACCTTGAATCCTGTATGTCTCTCTCTCACACAATAAAAAAGTATCAATTCCCACAGTTCCTTGAATTAAAATGCATTTTGTGAATCAAAAATCATCACTTTGCTTTGGTGACCAAACTGATGTGTTGATTCCCAATGCTTTATTTCTGATTTCTGTTTTTTAGTTTGAAGTCTAAATGATATACTTTAGTGGTATTGGTAAGAGAGCAAGTACTTGGGGATCAATTTTCTTCAACAACTGAAGTTTGGAATTAAGACCTTGGATATCCGTTCTAAAAATTGCTGCGAGTAGCTCCAGTTCTTGGATCCAAAACACATCAAGTTGTTACCCGATTTTATTTTTGGGAAGCGTACTTGAGATGTTGTTTTACAGACTCAAATGAGAAGTGTTCAGGGTATTCATCCTTCTTTGTGTATCTTTGGTTCTCCTGCACTCTTTTTCTTGCTCGTTTGGTGTAGCTTAAAAACTCATGATCCCAATCCTCAAAAATTACAAATACTTTGAATACATATAAGGTATTGATCACTTGACATGAAAACAAAAAACAGAGAGATGACTGAGAACCGGTTGATTATTTTTTACGTTCTTGTTTCCATTTCTAAGTCAAGAATTAACAAAAAAGGCGTCAAAAAATTGTAGGACGAGGGAGGAGGGGAAGAAGAGATGGAGAGAGAGACGAACCCAAACTTGAGCGCCAGTTTTGATACCCGAATTCAACTTCTCGAGTCGTTCGCGTTCGAGATCATCCTCGATGATCTGATTCCGGTCTAACTTATCATACCAACTCAGATCCCGACCGTTAACCAAGCCGTCCTGTTTAGGCTTCTGGGTCGACGATCTGAACTTGAGGAACTTTGATCCTTTGCCCATCAAGGATTTCTTCAACTCCATTTCTCTCTCCGCCGTCTGCAATACTCTTAGTCTCGTTAATCTCGTCTGGAATTCGGTCATCAATTTCCTCATGTGTTTCTATTTATTTAATCATACGATTCCGAGGAGAAAACAGATCAATGGCCTGTTCTCTTTTTAGTGTTAACTTGGTGATCGCTCTCACCTCGGGATCTGGTGTGAGCTGATCTTCGGCATCCGAAAACTCTTCCGTAAACTTTCCCTTGGTTTTCTTTGAGCTAGATTTACTGGCCGATTGCGTTTTATCTTTTTTGGTTTTCTTTCCTAAAGAAGTGATACTAAAGTTTTTGACTGGATAAAAATCAAATAAAAATATTAGCAACGGTTCAGTTTGATACAAAGCTGAAAGAATGTAACAGAAAAGTCGGCTGGTGCTTTACCCTCTTCAACCGAATCCACAAAGATCGTCTTCTTCCCTGGCTTGACTAACGCATGATCATCGTGATCCAGCTCTGATCCCCCTTGGTCAGAGTTGGCGGTATTCTTGGCATGAGTAGCTGTGATGCTTTGGTTGATGAGCTGGATCGCTTGTTCCTTCAGATCCGAGGATGAACCGGACTCTTCAGATTGGACTCGGATGATCATCGATCCTAACCTTTCTTTAAGTTTGGTGATTTTCTATAATGGAAGACCAAAAAAGAAGTGAGAATATGTTTAGGACCTCGATTGAAAGTAAGAAAAAAAACTCACGTTCTCTTCGATTGCTCTACATGTTTTGATATAATTAAAGTCTTGAGTTTTCAACAACTTGACCAGCTGGTTATCGAGTGGGGTATTAGCCTTATTGAAGTTGTAGTGAACACCCTTGACGGTCTTCGAGTTGATCATCTTGAAGTAAAATTCATCCTGGTTCTTGAGGCTAGCCTTGAGTCTAAGTTTCTGCAGTCGATCCTTCTTCGAGTTATAATCCTTTGCTCGTTGGACATAGTCCGAGTGTTTCTCTAGTAGTCCTAGTCTCTTTCTCTGCAAGGGCTGGGATCGTTCCCGGTGCTGTTTCTTCTGTACGTCTAGTTTGAATCGAGCCATCGTTCTTATTGTGATCTTATTCTGAGGTATGTAGGTGGTTTTTGATTTGCTGTGTTGGTTTGTAGAAATTCTCTGCAGACAGCCTACTGGGCGGGCGGAGGGGGGCTTGTAGAAGTTAAATACATATGTCTGTAGGGGGTTTGACCCTTGACCAGGTTTTCCGTCTCAGTTTGGTCAGCCGTCCTGTGGCCCAGCCTTGGCCGGTGGGTGTGGCCTAGGGCTTGTTTTTGAAAGTTAACACCCTTCTTTCCCCGGTTGGCAGTTCGGCCAGGCGCATACAGAAACCGCTGGACGCGTTTCAAGCTGTTGACCATCATCATCCTTCCTGGAAGCTGACCGGAAGAAACTCAAGGAACGCTCCTCATCCCGCCAAATTCCTCTGAAAGCCGAGTTGGATCGATCATCACCTTCCTGAAATCCGAGTTGAATCGACCATCATTCGTGGACAGAAACGGAAGAAATGTCCTATCACGACATATTCTTAACCACCAAGGTATGCTCAACCAGTCATCATAGCAGTGCGTTGACTGGTCAATGGGAAATCACTGACGACTAACCCTCCCTGGTACATCTTCATAGATCATCACAGATGAAACCTTTCGACTACATGAAGGATTTGATATGGCCTTGTTGGATGACAAGACAATGCCTCCCTCGCAACTTTTGACTTTAACAGTCCTCAAAACTGAACCGTTCTTGAATTTTAAATCTAGACTTGCTCAAAGCCTTGGCTATTCGCTTAACTACTTTCGTCTTTGGACATTGGCACACCAACGTCATTGCGACTACCTGCGTGAGGCCACTACAACACGGCTAATCAAAGCAGTACCAGAAAGTGATCCGGAATTGAGTTAGTCATAGATCAAAGTCCAGAACTGTCATCACTGCTGAAACTCAAATGCAAGTCGTTGATCTTGAAACCGATTACTTCAGCAATGCAGGATGTCATGAATTCCCGACAGGCTTCCAGCCCGAAAACCCTCATATTCTACCTTGAAGTACTCGACCGGGTACATGAGGCACGGTCTGGTCAAATCAAGGAGTCTCATAAGATGGTCTTTGTCAAACATTTTGATGCTAAAAATCAGAAATTGGTTGGAATTGGTCACTTTCATGTGCAGAGTCGAGGATCTTTGGACCCCCTCATCAAAAACCGCATGAATCTTCCTTCAAATGCAAAACTACAGGTTTACAAGGTTTGTACATCAATGTCCAGGTTTATTTGTGGGCGGCACAGTCGGCTCCTATAAACTCGCGCCTCTTGTTTTGAGAACGAACATGTAGATAATTTCACATCCATGCGTAGGAGTCGACTGTGCACCGCTAAAATCTAATCGTCATGTCAAATTGGCATAACTCGAATTTTTACACCCATGCTCTTTCATCTGATAGGAATTAGGTCCTGGGAAGACAAACGTGGATAGCCCCAAGGTGTACTCCTCTGACCCAATACGAAATGGGGACATCTTTTGCTTTCAAGTTGAACTTTCCGATTCAGAGTCAGTTTTACCATTTGATCCCCGGTGATATCATTGAATTTAACAACACTCTCCCCTTTTGCCCTGTGAATCTAAGTATTGCAGAGTTGAAAAGAAAAAAGCTCTATGTCGATGTAGTGGAATTTTACAACTTCTTGGAAAACCGCGTTCTCGTTCACTTCAAACCTCGTCATGAGGCAATGTCTGCGACTATCGAGTTTTCCTTGGTTCTCAGCAAGAAAGATACCTATGAACAGATGTCCAAATTAGTCTCAGCAAAACTTAATCATAGTCCCGAAAACCTTCGATTCACTGGTAGTCTCAAGGGCTTTCCCCAGAACGTCATTCATGGACAGCGTGTCCCGAGCACCTGCTGGACATCTTCCCAGAAAGTCATCACTGTGGCTGATATGATCGAGACACCGAATCAAAATTCGGGCTACCCGAGCTACAGCAGCAGCGACTTGAATAACATCTTGTTCTATGAGCTATTGGATCTGCCTACTGGCGAGGTTCAACAGAAGCGGATGTTGAAAGTAACCTGGACCGGTGCTGACAACCGGGAAGAAGTGAGTCTTGAATTGCTTTTAGTCTTTTCGTGGCTAGAAATGCTGTTTTCCTGAAGTTATTTGCTAAAACTTCAACGGCTTGCTTTAAGAGCATCCTTATCGGTTGGGCTAACTCAGCCCGCGGCTAAAGTCCAAGTTAAATCAAGTTAACTTAGCGGGGGTGTTTCAGCCGCACTGGTATTGGCTACCAGCAGCTCAAACTAGATAGCTCACAAGCAAACCATGACCAACCGCATCGGGAACAAACGACGACGGCTCCTCGAGGACCTGTTTGGATCGGAAATGGAGGATGAAGAAGAAGACGAGGAAGAAGACGAGGAAGATGGATTTACCTCTTTGGAAGAACTCACCAACGATGAACCGCATGCCAAGACGCGAGGTCCACGACGCCCAAATAAAGAAAGAAACCATGCCGAAGGACACGAGAGACTCATGCAAGACTATTTCAACAGTGGTTCAACATACAATGACCGTGATTTTGAAAGGCGATTTCGACTCAGGAAAGAACTGTTCCTGAGGATCGCTGCAGATGTGGTGGAAGCCTCTCCCTACTTTGTTCAAAAGCCTGTATGTTTCCTTTCCTTTTTTCTTTGCTATTAATCTAAAAAAAACTTATTGAAAATGGTGAAACAGGATTGTACAGGCAAGATGGGGTTGTCAAGTTTTCAGAAGATCACCTGCGCTCTTCGACAATTAGCCTACGGATGTGCAATGGATGCGACCGATGAATATTGTAGGATTGGGGAAGCCACTGCTCGGCAAACCCTCAAGATATTTTGCAACACAATCGAGAATCTGTACGCCAAGGAGTATCTACGGAAGCCAACCGCAGACGATTTGACACGAATGCTTGACATCAACGATGCCCGTGGCTTTCCAGGCTGCATTGGCAGCCTTGACTGCATGCACTGGGTATGGAAAAACTGTCCCAGTGCATTCGCTGGCCAGTACAAGGGCAAAGAAAAGAAACCGACGGTGGTTCTGGAAGCTGTTGCCGATCAACGACTGTGGATCTGGCATGTATTTTTTGGAACGGCCGGGGCTCTTAACGACATTAATATATTGGATCGATCACCTCTATTTGAGGAACGACTTGCTGGTACTAGTTGGGACGTGGAATTCCAGATCCTCGGTCGTAAATACAACCACGCGTATTATCTCGTCGATGGAATTTATCCATCCTGGTCAACCCTGATCAAATCAAAAGGTGTGTCTCAAGATGAGCCATCAAAACACTTTCAAAAGCTTCAAGAAGCATTCCGAAAAGATATTGAGAGGGCGTTTGGGGTTCTTCAAATACGATGGGCTATTGTCACCATTCCGGCTCGGTTCTGGAGCCCTGAAGATATGGTGTCAATCATGCGAACTTGTGTGATTCTACACAACATGATTGTAGAGGATCATGAGAGGGATTCAACCGACACATTTCGGTTACCTCGCTGCACAAAACTAGTCCCACCTCAAAGTCAGCCTTACACCTTACAGGAGCAAGCGATTCGGACGGTTGAGCTCCGATCAGCAGTACAACATCGAAGGCTTATCAACGACTTGATTGATCTCAATTGGGCACGACTAGGCTCCAGGAACAGGAGTACCGAGTGAATTTGCTATTGCTCTTCATGTATTTAGTTCAGAAATAAACAATAGGAACAATGAAATAGATTATGCATATAGATTTTTTTTCTTTGTGTTGTGTTTTTTGAAAAAAAGAACGGCAAGAAATGAGATAGACTGGAGAATGCGAAACACTCTAAGCGAGGGTGTCAAGTAAAGGATCTAAATCAGCTATGTCGTCTTCGTCTTCATCGCCGATGTACTGAGAGTCTTCAGCGTTGCTGGATGGATCGTCTTCGAAGGTGCTATCACGCTCACTTGAAGCTGCCAATGCTTCATTTGTTGATGCTTCGGTTTGTTTTTCCTTTGCTGCCGCTAGTTTCTGTCTCTCCCTGATTTGCTCGCGAAGATCCTCAAGAATTTCCCCCTTTTGAAGACGCAAAAATTCACGAGATACATCGTCCGGTAGTTCATCTTCTTTCCTAGACATGATCTCCATATTCACTTGGTTTACTTCGGCTTTAGCAACTTGTTGACGGATTTCGTTTGTTTTTTTCATCGCAATGGTTCGTTCGCGGTAGTTACTCGATCGTTCAGACATGACTTTTATTTTTTTAGCATTGAAGTGTTCTTGCTTCATTGCACGTTTGGTCGCATGAATCCCAGCAGGACGGTTCCAAGAGTTGTTCGATCCGATTTGGGCAATGTCTTCAGGTTGAGAGTTGCCTAGAGCAGCATCGGACTGAGCAGCGGGTGTAGATGGCGTAGGAGTGGGGGCTGGGGTCGTGGCCTGTTTACTTTGATCGCCACGTGTTTGTGCCAATGAATTGAATTTTGATGAATCCTTGACGACCATCCAGGCCAGCTCAAAGATGAACTGTTTGCCTTCTTGCTCGTAAAAGGCCTTCTTGGTGTCGGGGAGGAGATCGGACAAAACAGATCCCGATGGTCTGTTGTTCTTGAGCTTGTGATATATCCCCGAGAATTTCAAGCATGCCTTTTGGATGTGCCCCCATCTACAATGCAAAAAATGAGTATATTTCAGGGGAAGAGGGAAAAGAAATGAAAGGAAGTACTTACCGGTGCATGGCCATTGTCCCATCCCTCTCAATACCACCAGAATAGTCGTTGTAATCCTCTGCGACTCGTTTGAAAAACTCCGCTCTCTTTTGACCGGTTGATATGATCGGGTCCTCAGATATCTTGAGCCAGCTTTTGGCAAGCTGTTGGTCTTCTGTTGGAAGCCAATTGGCACTCCGAGTCGGCATCGTAGATTTGTGGCTGGAAAGGAGAATCGAGGTGGATGGTGGAGAGATGTCTTGTATTCCAGCAACCCCGGGCCCTAGCTCACTGTTTAGCTCATTGGCTAACCGTTGCTACATGTAGCAAGGGTTAGCCAGAATCTTAGCATCAAGCTGACTTAGCCCCGGGTTAGCTTGAACCGGTGCGCTTGAATTTGGTGGCTAAGTTCCTTAGCTTCAGCTAAACTAGCCACCGATACGGATGCTCTAAATTGATCTACCGCAGGGAAAATATTCACTTTTGATGCCAAAGACTTCATCGATGAACGCCGTAGCTGATAAGCTGTCGACGATGGTCACATTTTCAAAAAATTCGTCCCGAAAAATCAAGCTTTTTACCATCAAAGACGGCAAGATTCAAGTACATTTTACAGGGGAGGAAATTTTGAAAGACATACTCGACGTCGAAAATATCTACGCCGCAGAAGTCAGCACGATGACGGTCAAACAGTACGACCCGGCTGCGATGCTCAAGATGCTTGAATTTGTTACAAAGCTGAACGTCGATGGAAGAAACTACCAACAGTGGTTCAAGGCGTTAGAGAGTGTTTTAGGAATGGCTACAGGGAAGGCGGGAATCCTCACTTCGCCAGGGCATACGATAGGTGCTGCAGAGGACCTCATGATCAAACAAGCGATCACGGCTTCGGTTGATAGTGCACTTGTATCAACAGTCCTCGAAGCAGAATCTGGAATGGTGGCCTTCGCCGAGATTCAGAAGCTCTACACGTTGAAGAGTCGAAGTGGGCACATCAGATTAATGAAAGAGATCTTGCAGACGAAATTCGACATGAACGATGGAACGGTCGGTGTCGAAAGCCATTTCCGTAGGGTCGAGGATCTAGTCGAAACGCTGTTTGAATCAGGTTTTCAGCTCACCCCAGAATCTTTCAAAGGACTCCTATTCCATCTTTCACTGCCCGAACTTGATGCCCAACCATTTGTGAACATCTGCAAGAGGATTGACGAGCGACCCGGAGGTGCTTGTACTGTTTCAAATAAAGAATTGGTTCAAATTGCTCAGGCCGAATTAGCCCACTTTCGGCAACGTCGCCAAAGCACTCTTGGCGGACCAAGTAAGTCAACGGTAAAAGGTCCCCCTTCAAATCGCGAAAATTAGAGTAATGTCAAGCTTTCAGAATGAGTGAGCACGAGTTCCAGTACATTCTTGAAGAAACAAATCCTGACTAGATGAAGAATCCATCAACAGGGCCCACACCGCAATGTCGACAGAAATGCTGATGATGGTCGAAGAAGGTTATATTTCCTTCTCTCAAACCTATGCCAGTGGCAAACTGCCGCATTTGTCAAAATGTAAAATTTTGCAATTCTACTTGTACATTTAGACACTCTCCAAAGATAACCAATTGTTAAATCAGTCAAGTTCTCCAAGAACCTACAATGTGTGCAATGATGTGACTACCACCACCCTGATGCATTGTGACCAGCTTTTTGCTGGGAGAAATTTATCTTGACAACTGGTTTCTGTACACCAGTTTGCCAAAAGTGATCCCTCAACATTGCCAGCTTGCCAGGTGCAAAGCTTACACCATACAGTCCACGGCGGTCCGCACTATTTGCTCGGTAAATGGGCCAGGCCATGATGTTTTTTTACTGGACACATGTAATAGGAGCCCGGCCCAAATCGGCACGGGTTCGGCAGCCCGTGATCGGACGCCCGGCCCGGGCGTCACCCGACCATCATCACCTTTCCTTCAACTCAAGAAGCACTCGACACCTCCTACACTTCCTCTGAGTTCTCAAAGCTACATTGACTCAAGCAATTCATCGTCGGCATACATAGAGGGAAGAAATGGCTTATCATAGCAGCTTCTTAACCACCAAGGTATGCTCTCAACCAGTCATCCCAGCAATGCATTGTTGACTGGTCAGTAGGAAATGACTGACGACCAACCCGCATCTTTATAGATCATCACCGATGAAACCTTTCAAGTACATCAAGGATTTGATATGGCGTTGTTGAATGACAAGACGATGCCTCCCTCGCAGCTTCTGACGTCTTTGGTCTTGAAGACCTCACGTTTCTTGGAATTTAAATCCAGACTTGCTCAAAACCTTGGTTACTCGGTTAACCATTTCCGTCTTTGGGCATTGAACAAATGTCACGAGGGTGAAACCATCCGGCTAAACAAAGCGGTGCCAGAGAGTGATGCTGACCTAAGTGAGTCAGAGAGCAATATCAGAAATGTTATTACCCTTATAACGCAGATTGAATTTGTTGGTCTTGGAACTGTGTACGATAGCAATGGAAGACGTAAGCCGCGAGATGGCTTCGAAAACTTATGATCTCATATTATATCTTGAAGTACTCGATCCGGTCCACGAGGCACTGTCCGCCGAGTCTAGGAAACAGAGGAGAATGATCTTTGTCAAGCATTTTGATGTTTTAAATCAGAAATTGGGTGGGATCGGTCACTTTTATGTTGAGAATCGAGGGGCAGCAAACTTGGCCACTCTCATCAGGACTCGTATAAACCTCCCCCAAAATGCGCATCTATTACTTTACAAGGAGGTCCGTGGAAACTCGCCTCCGACTCGCTCAGGAGAACCGTTCCCAGATACTTTTACTGTTTGTGAATATTTCTTCAGGGGGCAAGAAAATAAGAAGATGGGGAATCCTATGGAGTCGACTGCACACCTCAAAACTTAGACCTCACATCTAACGGCTGGACTTCATGTTTTTATATCCCTGTATCTTTCGACTGATAGGCGACAGGGTCTGAGAACACAAACCTGGAGAATTTTACGTCTAGCTACACGTATGGCGATCTCAATGATGGGGACATCTTTTGCTTTCAGGTTGAACCTTCCGAACAACAGTCAGTTCTATCGATTGGTTCAATCCGGGTGATAATATTCAATTAACTGTTCTCTCCCCTCTGGCCCCTTCGAATCGAAGGCTTGCCGAGTTGAAAAGAAAGAAGCTCCACGCCGATATAGTGGAATTTTACGAGTTTTTGGAAAACCGAGTTATGGTTCATTTTAAACCTCGCCATAGTGCCATGGATTCGACTATCGAGTTTTCCTTGGTTCTCAGCGAGAAATCTACGTATGATCAGATGACCAAAGAAGTCTCAGCAAAACTGAATCACAGTCCCGAACACATCCGATTCACCGGTAGTCTCAAAGGTATTCCCGAGAGCGTTATTCATCGACAGCGTGTACTTAGCACCTCCTGGCCAATTACCCAAGAAGTCATCACTGTGACTGACATGATCAAGTCAGCAAAGGACGATTCGAGCTACAGTAGCAGCGAATGGAATAACATCTTATTTTATGAACTATTGGATCCGCCGACTGGAGAGGCTGAACAGAAGCGGATGGTGAAAGTAACCTGGACAGGTGCTGCAGACCGGGAAGAAGTGGGTTCCAAGATGCTTTCAGTCTATTCGTGCCCGGAAATTATGTTATCCTGAAAGTATTTGTTGAGACTACAATGGCTTGCTTTAAATCGTCCTACCGCAGGGGAAATACTCACTCTTGATGCCAATGACTTCAACGATGAATGCCGTAGCTGATAAACTTTCGACGATGGTCACATTTTCAAAAAACTCATCTCGAAAAATCAAGCTGTTTACCATCCAAGATGGCAAAGCTCAAGCACCGTTCACGGGGGAAGAAATCGTGAAAGACGTGTCTGAGTTCGAAAATATCTATGCCGCAGAAGTCAGCACGATGACGGTGAAACAGTACGACCCAGCAGCGATGCTCAAGATGCTTGAATTTGTTACAAAGCTGGACGTGGATGGAAGCAATTACGAAGAATGGCTCACGGTTTTGGAGAGTGTTTTAGGAATGGCTACCGGGAAGGCAGAAATCTTGACTTCGCCAGGACACACGATAAGCGCCGCAGAGGATCTCATGATCAAACAAGCGATCACGGCTTCGGTTGACAATGCGCTTCTGCTAACTGTTCTCAAAGCTAAATCTGGAATGGTGGCCTTTGCTGAGATTCAGAAACTCTATACGTTGAAGAGCCGAAGTGGGCACATCAGGTTGATGAAAGAGCTCTTGCGAACGAAATTTGACTTGCATGACAGGACGGCCGAGATCGATAGTCATTTCCGGAAGGTCGAAACTCTAGTCGACACACTATTCGAATCAGGTTTTGAGCTCACTCAGGAATCCTTCAAAGGCCTCTTATTCCATCTTTCGCTCCCCGAACTTGATAGACCACCTTTTGTGAACATCTGCAAAAGGATCGACGAACGGCCCGGAGGTGCCAGTACTGCCTCCAATAAGGAATTGGTTCAAATTGCCAAGGCTGAATTAGCCCACTTTCGTCAGCGTCGCCAAAGCACTCTGAGCGGACCTAACAACAAGTCAAAGTCAACGGTAAAAGCTGCAACGTCAAATAGTGAAATGAAAAGTAATGACAAGGTGCCAGAATGAGCGAGCATCAGTCGTAGCAAATTTCCGAAGAGAAAAACCGCGTCAAGAAGAATTTACCTACATGCCGACGCTCCGATCTCGATAGAAACGCTACTGCTGCAAGGAAGGTAATTTAACAGGTGGTTGATAGAAGAGTTGCTTTAATTTTCCTTTTCAACTGATGTCTCCAACGATAACTACTTGTAAAATCATCATGTTTTCCAAGAACCTTCACTATGTGAGAGAATTTAGTCACCAATATATCCATTGTACCTTCTGGTTTTGAGATCTGTCTTGCCAATCGTTCAAAAGCAAATCAATAAGTCACCCAAGCGGTTTGACTTGACAGAAGAGACAGATAAAATGATAGAAAGACAATTTTCCTATTTTTTTTACTTCTTTAAACTCACCCACACTATGCTTCCCAGAAGTCACAAAAGTTGTTTTTATACTTTGTTGATTCTGGTTCCTTATTCAAAGGGATCACAACCATTATAGTGGCCAATAGATGTTAACCTAGGAGTGGATCACTCCTGGATTGTGGAGGATGACCAACTGAAGGACCACATGGCATGTCATCTAATTTCCTATCTCCAAGACCTGGTTAACTTGGATATACAGCCAAACCTGAACCCAAGTTTTACATCATATTATGTGGTCAGTACCACTGTCCAAAACACATATTTCTACACAGGCTCTGCTATTTTCAAGGCACAGCACAGTGGATGACTTCCCGTCGCAATCTACAACCCTCCCAGAAGCCAATTTACACCCATTAGATCTAATTTTTTCATCAAAAAAAAATTGTTTTTTCTGAAGCCTGTTAACAATGGCTTGCATGTGAGCTGGTTGGAATGTTAATTGGGTTGTTGATTTAGAGCTTAGAGAAGTCTAAAAAGCTCTCTAAATCCTGATGGGAAGACATCCAGTGTTTATTTGCTTAAAAAGAAGAAACCTCAACATAACTTGAATTAAATCTGATTATAGAGATGAGTACCTCATCAACCAAGAGGAGTCCATTTTGGTCAAGTGAGAGCAACTTCCAATTACCCTCTCCCCATGCGTTGTAAGACTCAAAAAGTGGTTGTAAGACCCTTTTTGCTGAATGGAGAAGGGGATGATGGAGTGAAAGCTCTGCCCTTCTATACTATCAGATAACAAGACCCACCAAGCTTAGCTTGGCAAGTTTTAATCAAGTGATAGGGTAAAGTTCAGGAATGAGTTGTGTGATGAAGAGTGTTGATTTGGTGTTTGGTTGGCGCTTTAAAGTGTTTGTGTAAGGTGGTCAAATATTGCTTGAGTGTTACTTGACTGAGGATTAAACAACTGGGAGGAGAGCCTCTTTATATATACAACAGTGAGGGAATTTAGCTCCAGGGCAGCCAGTAATGAGTGATTTTGGCTGGCCTGGGCTATTACATGAGGTATTTTTAGCTACATACAAAATTTGAATGAGTGAATGTGATTGGTCAGACATGTACAAGAGTTGAAGTGGTGATCCAAGCAGCTGAATGAGTGATTCTGATTGGTCAGGTTCTGATGTGTTTACAAGTGAGTGTGGTGGTGTAAGCTGCAGCTGTCATGCATGGAAAATACACTAATTTAGGCTGCAGGTATGATGTAATATGTAGAAGTGAAATGTAAAAAGTGTAGATGTATGTAAATGAGTGTATATGTAAATGAGTGTGTACTGTACTGAGGGTGTCTGTGTAGCTTGAGGGTTGTAATTGGGTTTGGTGATATGTAATGATGGGTGAAATCCTTGTGATATGTTGTCCAGTGTTGGGTAAGAGTTGATCCAGGTGTGTTCCAGTGACGCCTCCGTGGTGACCAAAGGTGGATTTATCCGTAGAGTCCAGTTCTTGAGCCGTATGGTGTGATTTTTGAGAGAGGTTGGGTGATAATATGAAGAAAATATATATAAGAAAAAAGAAAGGGAAAAAACTTTGAATTTTCACATTTTTGACTACCACAGCGTGAGGGGGGGGGGATTGCCAAAGAAATGAAATAAAAAAGAGTAAAAAAGGTGCCCAAAAATTCCCAAAACCAGTGCAGATTTTAGAAACAACCCCCAACAGATATCCATCAATGATCATGAATGGGAGTTGCTGGCTAGTATTCAGGAGTCATCTTTCTAACCCCCTACAACAATTTGATGATAATGAAAAATGAGACAAGTTTTGGAGATTTTTCATTGCATTCCTGTTGTCAATTGGGATCTTCCAAATTTTTCAAGAACAAAACAGATAAAACATTAACCAGAGACTCAGATAGAAACCTTATAAAACCAGCATAAAGTATCAAAAACATGAGGACAGCAGTTATTGAAAACCACTCAGAAAGAGAGCATCTTTCAGAAGTGGAAAAACAACACAAATTTTTGATTTGTGTTTTTCTAGCTCTTTTTCTGGGTGAAACTGCATGAGTGATTGATTTAGCATGCTGTTTTGATGGTCCTTCTTCAGCCATTCTATCCTCTTTAACTATTTCAATAATAAAATTGTTGCTCTTTGATAGAAAATTCCCATAGAAATCACAGCTCTAACTTCTCTATCACTTGCATGGGTTTTATAGGAGTAAAGGAAATCTCACAAAATTATCTTCTTCTGAAGAAGGAAAAAACTGTTTATTTTTTTGTCTCTTGTTGTAGGGTTGTTTGCACAAATTTTTCAGTCAATTTGAGGTTTGTTTTTGAACTCTATATTATGAGATTCTAGGAGCATATCCACCGGGGGAGGTAAAACTGGGTTGCTACAACCCCACAGTAGCAACTCAGATTTTACAATTAGCAACCCGCCCGGGTTTTCTGCCCACCCGTGGTTGCTAAATCTTCAAACTTCAACCTGTGACTCTTCAGTTCCCAATCTCCTGCCCTCCTTCCATCCATTCCCCTGAATGCAATCAATCATCTCTAATGCTTGAAGGTAACAAACCCAGGAACCTTGGTTGTTTTTGCATGTATTGCTCTGTCCGATTTTTGTATGAATTGTTTCTCATTTGCACAGCTTTGTCTGTTATTTAAAAAACAACAAAATATGTGTGTGTGTGTTTGATCGGGTGAAAAGATGTAGATAGATAGAACAAAGATGAAACTACAAAATTGAATCAAGTTTTACAGGAGTGGATGTCGGTGAAGGTGAGTGATATCAATCTTGTTGAGATGAATCAGGGGAAGGAGTGAAAAGTGTTGACTTGTTGAGATTGTCGTTCACATGAAAAACACCATGTCTTTCATGGATTTTTTGTTGCTCACAGGTGCTATCGAGTTGCTAGAGGGTTGCTACATGTAGCAACTCAACATGGGTTTTTACCTCTGGAGGTAAACTTTTTTCTTGTTTAGCACCCCGGGTGGGTGGCATTTTTTGGGTTTGGGTTGCTAAACACGGGATAAAAAACTGGTTTAGCTCCCGTGGTGGATATGCTCTAAACCACTCAATTCAATGTCTTGTGGAAAGTAGTGAGTTGCTGGACCAATTCCTAAAAGCTGCTTGAAAAACTGATATGTCAGTCAACTCAAAACCTGTCTGAATTATGAGTCATAACAAAAGTGAGAAATGAGCTTAGGAATACTTAACTAAACAAAGGGGAAACCAGAAAATCACAAGGGATTGTTACACACATTTATCCTCAAAATCCAAACCAAACAGAATTATGACAAAATTGGTTTTTATGAATCATAATGAATTGCTGTAAATATTTGACATAAAATATGAAATTGATATTCCACACCTCATAATAAAGTTTTCAAACCATCAGTTAAAACTTGGAAACTTGAATTCATACTAACATGAAACTCAAACATGTTCAAGCAAATCACATTCTGAGACCTAAAGAGGTGTTCATATTGACCCAGCTAGTGTGAGGTAAAAAGAGTTTGAAGATGGTGGTTTGTATTTCCATATTGAGCCCCCTCTCTCAAGCATTTTGAATAATATTCCTCAAGTGGGTGAATATGCAAGATCTCATGTGTGTGATGAATCTGAAGTAGCCTCAGATTGAAGTTTTCCCTCTCTGAATTTCAATTTTCAGCTTCAAGTTTGACACAATCACCACCCAATCAGCCTATATGTAAGTCCTTAATCCACTTCCCACAAATTCAGAAACATTCAAAATGAGCTGAAAAGCTATTTCACACCTCACATCATTAAAATACAACCAATCACTCCAATATCTTGGGATCATTTTATTTGATTGAAGTGAAAACTTCATCAAACTATAGTGGCTGCTGATTTGGGGTGTTGTTAAAATTGCATGTGCACCCAAACATTTGCAGGTATACTCAATTGATGGTGTTCAAAGTTAAATATGCAAACAATTATGCTTGAATATTTCATAAAAATCAAATCTTGTTTGGTGGTAACTTTTCAGATTACATGATCAGGATGTCAAGATTCCCTGCAAAACAAGATTTGATCATTTATGAAAGAAATATGTGTAATTGTTTGCATATTCAACTGTGAACACCATGGCTGTATAATGAGTTACTTGAATTTGAAATTCCTCACTGTGAAAAAATCTTGATGAACTGGCAGCAGGTGACATGCAATATTACAAAGGTGCCTTTGTAATATTGCATGTCAACTGCCACCAGTTCAGCAATTTTTTCCTTTAGTGCCTGGCTCACTTTTTTCTTTTCATGAGCTTGAAACCACAATCCTCAACTAATGAGGCTAGGTGAAGTAATGCAAAAAGGGTTTCAAAGAATGATCCTAGTGGCCCTCAAAAATGGTTTCTACAATTTAGGAAAAAAATCATCTTTATTGATTTTTTGAGGAGGTTTTAGGATTGCTCAAAAAAGGAAATATATGCTGAGATTGCTTCATTTCATGAGGGAAGAATGATAATGTATGAAAAGAGAGTGAGAGCTCACTGCTCAGTGTTCAAATAAAAATTGGAATTTAATTTGAATCCTAGAATTACCTACAAGACAGCTGGATATCATTGCCTAATTACCCATCAGTCACCTTTTTCAAAATTTTCATTTCTTGTTGTTCTTGTTATTTCTTCTCTTGATTTTTATGCCATTTTTGTAGTGATATTTGAGATTTCCAAGAAAAAAAAATCCTCAAAGGCCTCCTGTCAACTTTCTCAATTTTTTTTCTTTTTCATTTTGCTATTCTTATAATCATTTTTGAATGAGTGTACTAAATATGAACTTCAAGACAAATTGTCAAAAATATTGGGTGTCCCATCGTCCTGTCAAGCCAACCGGGTACCCGCGAGTGTGATACGGGAAGCCTGAATTTGGTACCGGGATGTCGAGTACGCATACCCTGGTCGCCCGGATGGGTCATACTGGCGGGTACGGGGTACCCCGTGAGTTTCAGCGTCCGGCCACCTGCGACAAATAGTGCAGATCGGGGGCTGCTACACTTAACCACAATCTCACCACCCTTAAGGAACACTTACAAAGGACACATTCGATTGACATCTTATCTCTTCAGTCCATTGGGCTTCCCTTATGAGCTCCGCCCTGGCTCAATTCTCCAATCAATCGGAATCCACCTTTCAACTGGTCTCTTTTTGGACGCAATTACTAATAGGATATGGCAAAGAATAATAAAACGGCCGCTGGAGGTCCCAAAACCAGCCCTTCACCCACTCCCAAAACGCTATTCAACACCTTGCAGACACTCCTAACCAGACTAGAAAAAAATTGAAGCTATCAGCAACAACATCAGCCCGACAACGGAAGCACCGCAAAACCCAATGGAATTATTGTTTTCACAACTAGACAATCTAGCCAAACAATTAGAACGACTGGAAAGAACTCTAGATTCCGATTCAGTGCACCACCTTGAGATACAAACCGAGACTCAAATTTCGCCTCAGAAACAAGGGAAGAATTTGTATGTGTATGCAGCCACATCGTCTTTGAAGCAAACATCTGATCAGGTGCCCTCAATAACAAGATCGAACGCCACCATGCCGCACCCACTCCCCACAATTCCTCCAAACAGCTACATTAACCGCTTTAAGAGAGGCCACACAATCATTCGAGCTTGGCCGGGAGCAGTCAAACCTTTTTTGAACTTATCTCTGATGCAAATTGCTACCAATGTCAACCAAGCCCTTAGTTCTATCGATGCCAGAATTTACAATACTCCAGTCCAAGTCCAAGCCATTACACGATTTCCCTCAGGTGACGTCAAGTTTATTACAAAGAACCGAACAATTGCAAGATGGCTACTAGAACACAAGCACACCTGGACGCATCTAGCGGATCCAAATTTCACAACACCAAGGGCTACTTTTACTGTGATGATTCATTCTGTCCCAACAGAGTTCGATACCAAGAACAACAATCACTTAGCGACGCTCTGCACTCAGAACGATATCCCATGCGACATGATAGAAAAAACTAGATGGCTAGGTCAACCTCAAAAGAACGGCAAGAAACACGGCACACTGTTAATAAATGTAAAGGACAAACAACTTGCCAGAGACATCAAACATGGTTGTTTAATCATCGATGGTATTCCGCTCAAGGCATCCAAATACACCCCCGGCCCTCCTCAATGCTTCAATTGCCTAGAATTCGGACATCCAGCTTACTTCTGCAAGACACCCCCACTTTGTGCCAGATGCGGAGGTAAACACAACTCCAAAGACTGCCACATTGACAACCCAAGTGGCGCTTGTTTTTGATGTATCAAAGCAGCCCAATCAAATAAAACCTTCACTAGTTTGACCGATACAAAGTACAATCACTCACCCTTTAGTATTTCATGCCCCATTAAAAAGTCCGAAGTTGATAAACACACAAAAGTTGCTTGATTCTGCCCATTAATTATTTATTTCACATTTTAGATTCCTACAAATTTTTCCATTTTCTTTTCTTCTTTTCTTTCCTCTCCTACCCAACTTTACAAGAACACTTACTCTCTCACAGTTGATAGCTGAAAATACTTTTTAGACCTATGGGGTGAATTTCTATTAGATAACTATAGCAGATGGTGTTGGATTGATCATTGAATAGACTTGTATTAGGTTTCATTAGATTATAGTGTGACATGTGAAATCAATAACACTTTTTTAAAAAAAAAAAAAAAAAAAAAGTGCGGATGACGTAATCGAAGGGATACATTTGATGGTTTCCCTTTTCTTTTCTCCAAATCAGTCTCAACACAAACAATTTGGTGCTAACGATCCCAGGGAATGTCGAAACGACTGACGATCCGATTGAGCTATGATCTTGTCAGGTGAGTGATCGATGATCTCTGGCTGATAGAAGAGGCGTTCACCAAGAGCTGAAAATAACTTCTTGTGTGTTTATGATGTTCCCTATTCAAGTCCTTGGGTAAGTTGTTCCTATTCACTATGTATCAGTTCTTCCTCTGCGTGATACTGATTTTCCATTCGTGTTCTCCTACCAACTCGACCTGTGCGCCTTTTCTGAATGTTTTTTGTTTGGTTGGAATAATAAAAAAATAATTAGAGCTACTTTGCCTATGTCGTCTTGAAACGTTATCGTCCGATATGGGATTTCGAGCTGATTCTCAATCCAGTCTGGCTAGGCGGTACGACCTGTTTACAGTCAAATCGCATGGATGTTAAGCTACTGATTACTGGCCTGTTTCGTATTTTTGTCATGATTGGATGACACGGACAAACATTGAACAGGCGTCATGAAGGGTAGCAAAAACACACCCCCATTCGTTGTACCTAATAAATGTGAGCATTTTCCACGTGCATGTCAAACGGTTCACATAAGATCAACTATCCACATGAACAAGTTAATGATTCTTCGAAATATATCTGAGAACTGGCCTTTTCTAGTTAAGAAAATGGTACACTCCAGTTTCCTGCCTCTCTTCCATGTCTCGAGCTACCCAACCCGTTGCAAATGACACTGGCCATCAACGAGCTCAGAAAACGGATTTTGTGGATCTGTCTAATTTTTATTAACATGGAATGTTTTTTTTTGAAAAAAAAAAATCTGCCACGATTGTAGAATGAAGAGATTCCATTAGTGAGTGGTTCATAATTTTTGTCCACTTCACGACGGATGCGTTTAGATCAACAGAGTCATTAAAGCCAAGTTGAAAGAGGTATACTGAGAATCTAATCAACGACCTTGAAGATGTCTAAATTCTTCAAAGGTAGGTTCCACACACCAAACTATCTCGGATACGTATTTCAACTCAGACTGAGTTATCCTCTTGCTTCGATCAAAAAAAAAAAAAAAATCCAGTTAAATGTGTGATGCCGCGTGGACAATTTCCATTCAACACTTTGCCGATGATGCGATTCTTGAAGGTTGTTCAAGAAAAAGATCCGGGTCGATTAGAGGCTTCTACCGACAGATTATACGTAAGTTTTCCCCCTCCCTGTGATTAACATCCCCCTTTTTCCTGACAATAAATAAGAAAAAGCCGAGAAATCAGAAAAATTGACACTTATTCTCATGAAATTGACACACCCAAAAACAAACCCCTCTCTTCAGGAAGCAATCTTTGAGAATAAAGTGAAAGTAGCCGACAACCCATCAGGAGTCTTAGGATCATTATCACCAAGCGTATTAGATGCCTCTAGGGTAGAGGAGTATCGACAACAGTCGAGCAGTGAGGAGACGAAGGAGAAGGTCAAACGGGACGCCGAGCGACTTGTCGAGGAGGGCGCCTTCGGCTTTCCCTGGATCGAGGTATCTAGGCCGGATGGTCAACGATTGACGATCTTTGGCTCGGATAGATTTGAATTCTTGGCCGATTGGTTTGCGCGGTTTTCTTTCCCTCCCCCTTGAGATCCGCCTCATACTGACTTCTGTCTTAATCATTCTTCGTCACATGACCTCCCCTACCCAACTCGCCTGATACTTTTGAATCGATCAAGGCTTGGCCAAGAATGGAAAGGACCCAATCCATCATCCACAGAACCTACCAAAAGCCGTCTCTAGAGTGCAGTCGGTTTTCTTACTTCCACAGAGCAACCATAACTCGGAAGGTAGTGCTAGATTGAATTGCTTATCTTGTATTTCTATGGATCAGCTTATTGGGAGCGAACCTCACAATTAGAACATGTTCCCTTGTTAAATAAATAAAGATCATGTCTATGTCTACCCCTTAACTTGGATGATACAATAATCGAACAAAATAGAGAAGAGAAACAAATCGAATGGTGAGTAACATCGTCATCGAGTTAGTATCACACTTCTCCCAGAAGCTGAAGACATCAAACATTACACAGAACTGAAAAACAGATTGATTGATAAATTCTAATTATCATTGGGTTTCTTTTGTGAACAAATTTGTTATTGGATGGTGAGACCCAAGGCGAGATGCATAAGTCGAGCATCTACAACATAGCCTGGTCTCTGATTAAACTGTTGGAGAGTTTCATAGAGAGATTTAAGCGGTACGAGTTCGACCTGGATATGCTCGCCTGTCCGAATAATTTCAGTTTTTATTTTGAGATTGAAATGGTGCAAGCAAGGCCAAGAGGGAAATCGGGTTCTTATTGATTGGTGCCCATGGATGCTTACCTTGCTCTTGTTGGGGCTCCGGAATCACATCCGCTCTGTCTAAGGAAACAGAGACTTTGGCCAAGACCATGTTGGCCGAACTCATCCCGGGATCATTCTGTAAAAAAAGGAACACGCATCCGGAGATCCCAAGGTCAACTCATCCAGGAGATTGGGGTGTGATTGTGGATTTGGATGACTGACGACCAGGATCTCGCTGATCTCCTCGACCTTGACCAGGCCGCCGTTAGGTCCATTTCCGTAGCCGGTTTCCTCACGCAATCTTTCGAAAGAGAGAGAGAGAGAGAGAGAGAGAGCGAGAGCGCGAGAAATCAGCGATCAAGAATGAAAGAGATAGTGACTCATGTAGACGGACTCTCGCAAAGCAGCCGTCTCGGCGCTCTCGTTCTCGTCGATCAATCCGGCGGGCAATTCGACGACGATGCTGTTGACCGGCGGTCTGAACTGGAGCACCAGGATGGTCGACAGCGGCAGTTGAGGCCTGGACACCAATGTGAAGATCGCCACGGCTACATTATAGATATTTATAACCACATCATTTGTCGATTCACCCATCATTATGAGCGAACATGGATGGATCTAGAGACGCACCATCAGGCTTGTCGCTCGCCGATTCTCCGGCCGTCTTGCGATAAGACCTGTCCAGGAAAGTTTTTATTTTCCGTAGGATATGAATGGAGCGTATACAATAGATGGGGAAAGGGACATACGCTTCCCATTTGCGTTCCTTGCCGGTCTCGTCGATCCAATCGATCGACCTGAGCCCGATCCACTTAGCCTTGGAGTTTTCCAGGGGTTCGGAGTGAGTGACGGCCGCCGAGCCGAGGACGAAGGGAGGCCTCTTGTTATCATCAGTGCTAGTTGAGCTCATCATCGAAGTCATCTTGGTCGGTTCTGATGGTCTAGTGTTCCTCGCCCAGCGTCCAGTCCACTTCGCTCGATAATTGCACCGCGCCCCAGACAGTCGGAGTCCGGGTGTGGTGAGTGGCGGGATCAAGCGTGTGATCATGTTGGCCGTTCATTGGTCATCAGCTTCAGCTTTTCACACCTCACAGCTGCTCGACCCGAATGGGGTGAGTGGCTGACTAAACTAACCTCAACCGATCACACAGCACTCTTGTGTTCTCTTCCCGAGAACATCGTGATTCATTTGAGAAAAATGGACTGCTTCTTGCATGACCGATCACTTTGATGCGGAGAAATCGGCGATCTTATTTCCACGTTTCGTCTGTTTGCAGACAGCCGTGGGCGTCTTCTAATGGTTAGGAAATCTCGTTGTGGTCTATCCAATTCCGTGAAAATGTCGGTTCGATTCCGGCCGCCCACAGAGAGCTTGACTTTTTCCCTCGGCCCCGGCCGGAATCATGCCGGCCGAACAAGCAAGCAGTTTTTGATGCAGCCCATGGCAAAACGCGTCTGCAGGTTTTTTTGTAAGGGGATGGATGATGGCTAGGAATCATTTGGGAGGATGGCTAGGAATCATCTGGGTTTTTGACACTACATCAGCATGAGGATCTAAATTTCAATGCCTTTTTTTTGCTTCTCCACCCTACATCTTCTGACAACTTTCGAGACTCCTTCCAGTCAATAAAGATTGACCATAAAGCATCACTGGTGGAAAAAACCACTCGCACAAAAACACTCAATGGAATGAATATCAATCAATTGTTGCCTCAACTAACCCTCAGGAAATGAACGACTGATGATCCAGAAAAAAAAACATGCATCTGAGAACAAGGCCAACATGAATGTATGGACAAGGGAAGGGGAAGAGATCACAACATGTTCCGAATCAACCGAGTGAAAAACTTGACAAAGATGCCAACATGAGCCTCCTTCTGATCGTCAGGTTGGACATGGCGTTTGAGATGACCCAGTTCGTCGACGAGCTGATTGGAAAGCGATCTGCCTTCCAACTGACGATTATCATCATCTTTGGGCTGCTCAGAAGGATGAAGGTGGTTGTCGAGGACGATGAAGAGGTTGCATTCTAGGTCCCTCTCCGCAGACCGACGGCCATAGTTCGATGAACCAATACTCGTCACTATACATCGCTCCTCTCTTTTTTCCTTCTCTTCCTCTTTACTGCCTCTTCTTATTCTCACAAACCGGTTGATCCAGAGCCCTATTAGAAATTACTCAATAAAAGTCAGGTATTCAATTATCCGATTTCCTTTTTCTTTCAATTGGAATTTAAATGAAGAGTTGATTTGGACAGGGGGAATACCTTTGGCATGATAAGTCCATCCGATTCGATTCCATCGTCGAATTATTATTTGATCTTCCTTCTTGAATTTCCGAATCTCATTGCGAAATAAGTTTTCTAAATAACTATAAGCTGGAGGTATATATTTGGAAACCCCATTGGACCGATAAAATCCATTTGCCTGTTTTTTTGATCAAGAGTGGATGAAAAGAAAAGAGGAAACCAAAAATCGGTTTATTTTTCAAGTGTTTTTTTATCCAAAAAAAAAAAAGACGAGATGACTGACTTGTGGTGATGCGGTGATGATCTCTACATGAGCGTTAGACGATAACATGTGAGTTTTGTATTCTCTAAGCAGACTGAAATAGCCACTAGTCCAATTCAAGACAGTTTTCTCATGGACGGGGGTAAGGGGATGGAGGGCTCGAAGATGGAGAGGAGGAGGAGGAGGGGAGAGCTGGTGGACAAGGTTGATAAGTTTAGGGATCACCAACGCAGTTTCGTGATTGATCTTAAAAGGGCTGATTTGGAGGGTAGGGAAGATGGAGGCCTGGGGTAACAGCTGATCGGACTGCTTGTTAGTTTGGTCAAGCCGTCCTAACTTGAGTCGCCATCGCTCCGTAAAGCCCGTGTAGAGTTGATGGGCGGTCGTCTTGAACTGCTGGGAGGCCCGTCGGGAGCCGATCGGCGGCTGACAGACGTTCGTCGACGGCCACGCAATCTTCAGCCCTTCTACACAGTCCTCTTCCGAACTCACTTCCTCCTCCATCCGGTACGAGATCCGGCTCGTCAGCTCGATCAATTCATATAGATACTCGCTCAGATGCTCTTGGCCTGTTAACTTGATATACCGGTCCTGTCGGTTGGTGAAATAATCTGAACTCAGATTGGCCCTAGTAGAGATGAAAAATGAAGGTAAAAAAACAAATGCATTTTGTTAGTGGGATATGAGCTCAGTCCAGGGTCCCGAAACGGGCAGAGTGGAAAAGGGTGTGTAGGTGTGTGTGTGTGTGTGAATTGTGGGGGGTTGATAATGTCTCCCTACCCACTCATAATAACATCCTCATCAGCCCCATAGATCTTCATATGCTGCAGCCCGAACCCCTCATCGAATCTTCGGGGGACGAATCGCTTGAGGATTCCAAACAGCTCGGAAGTGTGGAATAAGCGGATCTCGACTTGGTCTGGAAAGCGGATCTTCAGCGTCCTCAACAGACTCGCCGAACACTCTCTCGTCCGACCATGCTCTCGCGTCGATCGCAAGTAATCGACTAGGATCGTTAGCTTGATCTCCTTGTTCGTTTCTAATGCTTCTCGTAGGGCTTCAATCTGTTTTTTATACATTTTGCTTCAGTCTCATGATATTTTTTTGTCAGTAACATGACCACTTACCAAATTTCTTTCTTCTTTACCAACGTATAAACTAGCGATAAATATCCTCTTTTTAGCTCTCCCGATCAGATTCTACAGTTTGCGATCCACAAGTTCTAAGTCAGTTTGGCGAGCTCAGGAAAAAGAGAGAGAGAGACGAGTTGACTGACCAATAGTTCGAGATAGAACTGCGAAGGTTCTTTGAGGACTTTGATTGCGTTTTGAGGAGATCTGAAGTGCGGCAGATGGGTTGATAAGTGCTTGACGAGCCGATCGAGTGCTCGGTGATCTCTTTCCTCATGAGTAGTCTCGGTCGAAGGTGGTGGTGGTGGTGGTGTGTTGTAGTTTCTCTTCAGATTCGACCTCCTTGTTGTTACTATTAAGCTTGGCCTGATGGCTCTGGTTGGATTGCTAGCCTTGAGCTGATGAAGCCTCATTTCTTCCGATTGCTTGGGCTGGCTTTAACTTCTTGGTGATCCGTGGCTGCCCCTGGGTTGTTCTCCCCAAGCTCGGCCATTACCCAACTCGAGTCACCCTCCCGGGCGAGGGCAAAGAGATCAACCTCAAGAATAATCATTCAACCTCTGAATATTGTAGCACACCTTCTCAATCACATCCTATCTCTCATGACGCGCACCATGAGGAAAAATGTGGATATCACAACCTTCCTGAACTCTGTGGAAATTTGAAGGCTCAGAATGCCGCCGACGAGCCCAATCCCGTTAGATCATTGAAACCATATTCTTTGCAACACCATGACTCATTGACCGCTTCGACATGATTGCAGACATAAAGCTCATTCAAGGTCGGTCACCGGGAGCAACTTGAATCCAAACGCTGCATTCGAAATCTCTGGCCTGGTATATGAACCCGGTCAAACATTGATCCAAGCCGTGTGGGCTTTTGGTTTCGACACTACAATTGAGCCAATCCATCTGATTGTCGCCCGGCAAACTATCAACCTAATAGTTTCAGTTCTGAGTTGCTGTAACCTGAGGCTGCAGCCCCAGACCGAAAGGCCGGTCGACGGCTGGCGACACTTCGTTCCCCACTCAGCCCCACAAAGGGTAAACTTAAGGGTTAACGCTGACAAGCTTTGGACTGCCTGTCGAGGTTGCGGTTGCCGAACTCCGGAATGGCTCCGTAAAACATCACCCCGATTACCTTGGACTGGCTGTCAAAGTACAAGGCCTTCTTATCAAGCCTTCGGGGCTCCATTAACTCGAGTCCTGCGGTTTTGTAATATAGACACCTTCCGACAAAGTATGCCATCGGGCCTAGAATCCGGAGTATCAATTAATAACAGACCAAGCTTTCCTGCTCAACATAGCCGGGACGCGGCTTCAATGACTGTACGACTGTTCGAACTCAAGTGCTTTTTGTGAGTAGCTTTTAAGCAGGACCAAATCATGCGCGAAAACAAATATCCATGGAGCGTAGTACCGCTTTATATATATATATATTGGTTGATCGCAGGACATGGACATGAGGATGTGCCGATGACAACTTATCGGGAGCTAGTTAAACATGTTTACCTCAACAGTTATTGTCCGCTAGTTGACTTACGACTGCACTTTTGTGAAGGAAAGCGGAATGCTCCGGTCATTCACACCGATCATCATTCGAAAACAAAAAAGGTACTGCCATCGTCATCTCTCGACTGCGCAAAGTGTCTACATATGTTGTCAAAACTGATCCCTCAGAAACATGGATAAGCTCAAGCAGAGATTGCAATGTCAGCAGCCGATGAACGAGTTTCAAAGCATGTTTCGAACATAGATTCAACAAACCATTGTTTGTCTGCGTCTACATATCAGAGCTCAGATCATCCTTGGAGGGTCTTGCCTGTGGGGCTCGACCCTGCCATAAATAGCTATAAAAATAGTGCTCAAAATCCAGGTTGATTTCCAGTGCCAGTACCACACTGAAATAGCTCATTCTTCAGAGTACATCAACCATATAAACGTCTTGCTTGAGGTTAAATTTTACTTTCATTGATTCACTATGCAAGCCTCATCAATCCTCTGTTGTTTGGCTTTCTTGGCCCTCACTCATCAAGGTGTGCTTTCGATGCATGAAGCATGAAGCAGTGCTAGTAAGGCTAAGCAAGCTGGAAAAGCCCCGAGTAAGCTGAAGTGCAAATATATTCTTTATATCTTAGCAACCCACTGATTCATGATAGAGATTAATTGTTTAACCAAATGTATCTTTTCTTTGTGCTGTTGTGGTACGTCACGCTTTTCTACAGTGGAAGCCCCACCCACCCCGGCCAGGTCGAGTGGAGTGCCTGGTGGCAACCCGAACTCAGTAACTGAGGCATTTCGTATGATATTGGATCCACCCAAGGACACTGACATTAGCGGTCATCAAAGCGGCGGGCCTAGCGGATCAGGCAGTGCTGGAAATGATGCAGGTAGTAGCGGGAGCAGGAGTGGTGGTAGCCATGGTAGACGCTAAGGACAACTGCGCCAAAAGAACATATGAAGGCCTCTTTTATCATCTAACCACAAGGAATTAAAATCCACATAACTGTGCCGGATAATCAATGGTATTATGTTCTGGAAAACCCAATACGCATTAAACTTTGACTCCTTATCCACAACACTTTATAAATTTCCTTGGGTTTTCGTTGCTGAACTTCATTGCTACATAGATCCATACCTTCTCTTTTATGAATTTCAAAATAAACATACCAATATTCTAGAATGTATTAATCCTGAGTATAACATGTCTTGTGAGCCTAGATCTTGAGATTAGTGAAATCAGGACACAAGGATTTGGGGTGCACATTTCTATGTATTTCTCATGGATAAGGAAATAAATATAGACTAAGAGGAAGGGAGAAATAAAGGGAAAGAAACAATGAATTTTTTATTGTAATTTTTTATTGTTTACTCCTTTTCAAATATTATGATCAAAGTTTGATGCTGTCTTACTGTTGGATTATTGCTGGTTTGACAATTTCAGATTGATGATGTCATTCTTCAATGAGATCACTTCAAATTGGAAGCAATAATAAAACATCTTTCCTTTGATCAGTTGACTTTTGCTAGGTCTTTCCCTTTTGAATTCTTTTCTTTTCTTACTTGAACTCAAACTCTCAGCCAGATCAATCAAGATCAATCATTCAAACTAGCATATTGCTGCCTTTAGCAATTTCATATCAAGATCAATCAATCATCTTCATCATCCTTCAGTCTGGGTGGTACTATCAGAGGTTCTTATTTCTTTATTGTACTTATTTCTCTTCTGGTTGACCAAGATTGTTTCTAAGTTATTTTTTATATTTTTGAAGCCTATTTTTCCTAGTTGTGGTGGTGGAATTCTTTTTCTTTTTCATATATTCTCATCCACAACTTGTTCCTGTTTTGATTAGATATTTCCATTTTCATTTATATATCTTCTTATTCATTGTCATAATTATCTTTTTCTTACTGAAATACTATTTTTGTTAGCCTAGTTTTATCACATACCATCCTTTAAGGATGTTTGTCTTGTGACAAATAAATATACAAATCCTGCTCAAAAGAAACTGAGCAGAATAATTGGTACTTCTAAATCAATCCAACTTTAAATTTTAATCATATCTACAATGCAGGATCTTTGAAGGGCAGACTATTTGGTTTTTAGTTAAACCACCAAAAAAGAGAAGATTGAAGAGAATAGATTTGATTAGATGATTGAACACAGAATCCAGTGAAAGAGTTCCAAAAGAAATAAAGTGACTGGGTAATTCGATAAGACAGAGAGAAACAAGCTGACTTATAACAGTGACTTGTTTATTTTTAATCCTGACCCTGGTTGTTGGGAAAAGTTTGATATTTGAGTTACTTCTTGATAGGTGAGCACTTGTGTGATATTTCCAATTTGAGCAGGTGTTTTCTGGTGTAGTTGGTTTTGAGTGAGTCTGAACCTTTAAAATCATGAAAAAGTGAACTTACTCCAACTTAACTAAGTTGCCTCCCTACAGGCCTAGTTGTACAGGTTTTATTTTGCCAAAAGTAAAGAGAGCCTTACATATAGCCTGACACCCTTGAGTATTTTTGTGAGTTTTTGTGGAAAACAGATTGAATCCCCAAATGAACCTCCTTCCCATTTCCTTGGCCCACAAGGGCACCCTTTGAGCCATTAGATTCCTTAGGACTTTCTGAAAGAGCTGATATGCTTGGAGTTTTGAAAATGTTCCTGATTTGGACATCATGGAATGAAAATGATCACTTGATGACAAATGACATTATTCCACTATTATGGGGATTCCCATAAATTTTCAATGGCCAATTGTGCAGGGGGGCAGATCAAAACAGAAAACATATCCACCTGAAATGGAGACAAATATGAAGCACAAATCTTTGGAGAGTAATTCATCATTTATGCTGTTGCTGAGGGGGATACCAGAAAAATTCACATGTGAATTCATAGGTTTGGTTATGTCCTGCTTTGAAGTTCTTGTCAGTGTGGTTTCAGACTGACATTTGTGTTCAGATGTGTATAAAGAGTCTGGAAATGAATCTTCACTGTTTGGACTAGAAAGAGTCTAGGAGAGAAAACTTCTATGAACCTGATATGAATTGATAGCTCAGTAGAAGAATGTCAGAGTTCTCTACTGAGATAGGAAAGAATGGGGCCAGCAAGAATTGACATAGGATGTCAAGTTTGGACTGACATAATCCACTGTGAAATTTATGGTGAAAGCTTGTGGGGGGGTTTTACAATATGTCAACCAAAATTGGCTCTATTGTCTCATTTGCCCAATAATAATGCCATAAAATCCTTCAGCTTCAAAATACTGTCCAATTATCAGCCTGCAGAGTGTCAGATTGGATGAACAAATACCTGCATCCCTTGGACCCCATTTGACAGTGAAATGATAAAACCTCACCAGATGTCACAAGAATTTGCAATATATTTCTTACAAACAGAGCCTCAGGCTTGTATATAAAAAGGGACTTATTTAAACGACTACCAAAATTTGGAGTTCCAACTCCCAAATTTTTGGGACGTCCAGAGGACTGTCTGCGGATGGTCCTCCGGACATCAGGCCCCTGAAATTTCTTTCCCCCTGTTTTTTGGGAGTCGGACCTCCAAACCCTTTGATTTGTTTGGGAGTCAACTCCCTAAAAAAATAATACTTTTTATTTTTATTTTTTTGAACCCCCTCAGGGGTTTTTGGGAGTCAATACTCCAAAACTCCATGGAGTTTGGAGTCGGTGCTGAAAAAAAAAAGAAAAAGAACGGCTGGGAGAATTCCTCCCGGCCGTTGAAAGGCTGCACTCTTGGCGGCCAAGAGAAACCCTCTTGGCCATTGAGAGGTTACACTCTCACTGGCTGAGAGGAATCCTGTTGGCCTATGAGAGGTTACACTCTCACCGGCTGAGAGGAATCCTCTCGGCCGCCAAGAGTATACACTCTTGATGGCCAAGAGGATTCCTCTGGGCCGCTGAGAGTGTATACTCTTGACGGCATTGAGGATTCCTCCTGGCGCTGTTGAGAGGTTACACTCTCAGCGGCCAAGAGGAATCCTCTCGGTCATCAAGAGTGATTTCCTCTAGGCGGCCAAGAGAAACCCCCTCAGCGATCGAGAGTGTACACTCTTGATGGCCGAGAGGTTTTCTCTCGGCCGCTGAGAGTGTAACCTCTCAACAGCGCCAGGAGGAATTCTCCATGCCGTTGTGGCAGTGAGAGCGCGCCCTGGCCAAAGCTTTGGCCGGTTTGTTTGGGGGCATGTGGAATGCTCGCGGCTGATGCGGAAAGCATGCGGAGCTGACAAGCTGAGGAAAGCGGTGGTGCATTAGTGGAAAGTCTAGCTTTCTGAGGCACGGGAAAGCGGGGAAAAGTAGACTGAATGCGCAAGGTTCTGAAAAGCTTGCTGCGGGGAATCCGGGCACTGGCGGACACCGGTGTAAGACTCAAAAAGTGAGTGTAAGATCCTTTTTGCTGAATGGAGAAAGGGATGAAATGAGCTGCAAACTCTGCCTTTCTATATTATCAGAAAACAAGACCACCAAGGTAAGCTTGGCAGTTTGGTTGGTGATAATGGATTATGTTCAAAGATGGTTGTATAATTGTTGAAGGTTGATCTTGTTGTCCAAAGAATTGATTGAGTTGTTGATGTTGTTTCTCGTTTTGATGTCTTGATACTTGTTTTCTTCCTTGATGCTGTATATGTATAATGTAATAGAGGTGGTTCTTGAACCCAAAGGGTCTGGGAGCACTATGCTTCAACCAGGACTGGAACAAAGGACTGGCTCTTCTGTGTAATGTTTGTGAAACTG